GAAGAGACTCACCCAGGATAGTCGGATAGGTCCTTCTGCCGAACACAGCACACAGTGACACAGCCTTGAACATAAACCTTCTGTCACCCCCTCTACCCTTGCCCAGGCCCACCTGCAGCTGCACAGGAGGCCCAAAGTCCAGCCTCCTTGTCATGGGGCCTGGTCTGGCTGATGGTAGGGTGAGGCAGGGTGGTCATCTCCCTGCCTGAAACTTTTCTTCCTTGCCTGGTAACCTTCCATCCATCCGCAGTAGTGGAGGGAATAGGAGAAAATGTCTGAGTGTCCCATTATATCCCAGGGACCATACAGTCCTAGGAGCTGTGTCTCTGGCTCCTCAGGGAATGTCAGGTAGGAGAAGTGAGAAGTCTACTTTACAATCCAGAGATGACAGAGCCTGTGCTGTCTCCAGAGCTGAGGCCCATAGGGAGGTTCTAGATGCCACACACGTCCTGGACACACGATCCATGGGGCCATGTTTGCAGTGTCAACTGTGTGTACAAACGTGTATATTATGTGTGTGCTTGTGTGGTGAGTCAGAATGCCTGTGTGTGTGTGCGTGACAGCTCAGAACCCCACCCTGTGCCAGCAACTAGGACAATAATCTCCTGGCTTCTCAGGTGGCATTCTAGGACCCCAAGAAGGTGAGTCAGCTCAGAGACATGTTCATGGCTCATTCCCAGAATCATATTCTCGGCCTTAAACTTGTGGTCTCATTGGCCACCCATGGCTACTTTGACATTAGTGTTTGTGGTAGGATCTGTGGTGGGCTAACCTCGAGAGCAGAAGTGGCCACTAATTCCCACAGGCTCTGATTATAGCTGGAAACCTCATGACACACATTGGGGGGGGGGGTGATCCCAGGCACACTGTGCTTGTGAATGACCAGGGTCCAGGGACTGAGGGTTCTGTAGTGACTGTGACAGTGAAGGTAAAAAAGACAGGGCACATGATAGTGTCCAAGATGAGGTAGGCAGGAGGGCGGGTGCTAAGGAAAGAGAAATGCCCTAGACTATGAAGATGAGAAGATTCCAGAGTGGGTAGGAAGCAATAGAAGGCACGTGAATGGGAAGATTGAAGATTCCAGGGAAGGGAACTCCCCGGTGTCCATGGAGACCAAGGAAGCTGGATCTTGGGAGTAAACATGGTCCATAGGAGAAAAGCAGTAGTAGGGAAGGTGTGGAGGGTGGGCTCTCCTGGGTTGTGCTGCCCCATCCTATGTTCAGGAACATTCTGTGGACACTTGTGGGTGCCCCTCAGAGAAATATAAAGACTCCTTCAGTGGTTCCTTTCCTATAATATCAAAAAGATTGCATTCATCTTTGGAGACGGTTGAATTTAGGTTCAAAGTATATACACAAAAATGAGCAGAGGGTATGATGTCTGATTGACAATAAGAAAAATTTATTGAGAGTTGATTAAGTGCTGGGACAAGGTAGACGTTGGGAAAGGGAGATTCTCCTGGGTGACCATAAGGATCCAGTCCCCACGGGTGGGGACTGCAGGTACTAGGAACACTCTGAGGGGACCACTGTCTTGTCCACAGTGGTGCCATCGTGTGTCACGTGGCAGCTGAACTGGCTGGCAGATTTCCACTTGCTGGCTGACATGCTCAGGTAGCTGCTGGCCGCATACTTGTTGTTGCTCTGTTTGGAGGGCTTGGTGGTCTCCACACCCTGGGACACAGGGCTGCCATTCTCCTTCCAGGCCACTGTCACGGCTCCAGGGTAGAAGTCACTGGCCAGACACACCAGTGTGGCCTTGTTGTTGCTGAGCTCCTCAGAGGAGGGTGGAAAAAGAGTGACTGAGGGTGCAGACTTGGGCTGACCTGTGGGGTGGGGGAGGGGGAGGAGGTCAGAGGCTCAGCATTCATCCTGAGAGCTCCTGATCTCCATCTTGTTGTGGGGTGCACAGTCCCCAGGATTCAATCTGCTCCCTAATTTCAGGACTACTCTGGTTTGAGGTCTGTGGCAGAGAGACCATATTGGGTGTCTGCTCTTACAACTTCCCTCCTTCCTAGGGTAACAGGAGGCTGGACATCTGCCATCAATGTCCTCAGGCCCTCCTAGGCACTGGCCATTCAAACAGACATCTGACCTGCATCTTCCTGCTCTGGTTCCTCCTGACATTCTAATGGAGTCTTTGTGTGGGGAGTCTGCCCTTCATCAGAGAAGATGATGTACACTCTGACCTTCAACTGGGACAATCCTTAAGCATTTGTCACCCTTCTCATCTGCTTAGGCCTTTGTCCTAAAAGGTCTTTTTCTACTCAAGTCTACCTCTCCCGATCCTTTCTAATGGGGTGGGGTAGTCACAGAGGAGGGAGATTCTGTCTGCCTGTCCTTAGGTCTCTCCCATCTGCAGAGTTGATTGGAGGCTCACCTGTGGTAGTTGCTTGTCCTAAGATCTAACACTGAGGTATGTGCAATCTTTTTTGTCAAGGATTTGTACTTCTGAGGAGCATATCCCTTGAAATCCTTGAGGCCACTCTCCTACTGTCCCCTGTCCTCCATTCTCCTTATCCCACTCTTAGCATCCAGAGCATTAAAATCCCCACTCTGCAGTCCCCCTCCCCTGCTGCCTGGTTCTCTGGTTCCCACACTGGCTGAGGATTGTGCATAGCAGGTCCATGGAGCCTCTCCTCCCCTGCACCATTGCCAGCCCTGAATCCTCAGTCCCCCAGCCCTGAAGAGCTTCTCTGAATACTGACCCGTCTGTCCCTGGACTCAGCTCAGAGCATTTGGAGTCACCTCCCAGTGTATAGTCTCCCTTTGCACATTAAATGGGTGCCCAAATGACCCCCAGATTCAGGCTGCTCCCACAGGAGCCCATAGGACAAGACAGAACAGAGCAGGTCCAGAACCCAGCCTGACCCTGGCAGACAGATAGAAGAGTCTACAGGTCATCTCATTCCTTCCTCTGCCTGTGGGGTCAGAGGTGAAGGCTGATGAGACCAGTGGAGGCAGACAGGACAGACAGAACAGAGATGGAAAAGGTCACAACCTGAGAATGGGGTCTGGACTGAAAGCTTGGGTAGAGGGCAAGAAAAAGGGAGTGAAAAGAGGAGAAAATTGCCCAAACCTCTGAGAGAGCATGGAAGGAAGGGTGAAGAAGAGACTCACCTAGGACGGTCACCTGGGTCCCACTGCCGAACACGAAACACTGTGACACAGCCTCATACAAAAACCTCTCCCTTGGAGGCCCTGCCCCACCCCTAAGCCCCCCCACCTGCAGCTGTAGTGGAAGAAGCTGGGGTCACTGTTGCAGGCACATGCCTGCTGTGTAAGCAATGTATTAGCCTCCCCCAACACCCATCTCCTCCATGTAACAGGAGAGATGAATGCTTGTGCTCAATAGAAGGAGTCTGAAAATCCAGGCTCCTGAATGTAGTTCTCATGCATTCCGTTTGCCATGAACTTCTTTAGGAGTGGGAATGGATTTATTGGAAGGCATTTATGCCACTGGGAGTAAAGCTCCATAACAATGGAGAGAAGGTCTTTCCTTTCAGGGTTGAAAGAACATGATCCCCTGGGTGCACTCAGGGGAGGGTGACTCTCACACACCTCAAGGATGAGAGAGGGCCCCAGAGAGCAGTAGCCATAGGAATGTACCAGTGGACCCTAGCTGCACCCTGGGGTCTCAGCCTCATCTTACCAGGGACATGCCAGTTTGGGATTGCCCTGCAGGATTCTTTAACTTGTACTGTGAGCAGAGCCAGCCTGTCCTCCATGAGGAACTAGGAGACTCCCCTTTTCCTTCCACAATCTGGTTTTATGGGATGAGGGTCTTGTGGTCCTGAATCCTGCATTCATGTTCAGGGCACCCTTTCAGGATGGATTCTAGCCCTGTGTTTGGAAAGGCACAGGGAGTAAGGATCATGTTGTCATCCATATGCAGGATTCATGGAGGTTCTCAGGTCGTGTCAGGGTCTGTAGGAGCCTCCTGCAGGGACTCTAGCAGAGAAGTTCCATCATTGCAACCACATTGGGGTGGACACTAGAGGATAATTGCCTTGTAGTTGCATAGCAGATAAAGATGCAATGTGTCATTTGTCATTGATTTATATGTTAATTATCCCCTTAGTAGGGTTGCATTGTCTCTGCCTCCATTTGTGAGATGGGGAATGGAGAAAATAATCACCACTTTCTATTTCTTACTAGAGAACAAACACACTCTGATGTGTGAAGGAAGAGCTGTTGACGGCCCCTGGGGGTTAGGTCTAGTGGGTGTGGGGCCCTGAGATTCAGGGCAGTGCTGTTTCCCGGGGAGGATGGGACTGACCTGGCTGTAGCCCACGGGACTCCTGCCCTGAATTCTTCTGACCTTCTCACGCTCTACTCCAGAACTCCAGGGTCAAACCTCCGTGGGACAGGACATGGTGCTCCCTCTGCACCTAGGAAGGTGCCCTTCTTCATTTCGTGTCCTGCCCTCATGACAGTGGACACCACCTGCTCCCTCCGGGACCCCGCTGTGTGTTTGCTGCAGGACAGTCAGTGTCTGACTGAGCTGCGGTCCCTTGAGAGACTTTGAGACACATGCTTAAGGGACACATTACTCCCGATTTCTGTGGCTTTGTGGTGACAAAGATCCTGACCTTGTAATGGTTCACCCCAGTGGGTTTCATGAGGGAACAGGGAAGTTTAACAGCTGTTCCTATAAGAACAAAGCTTGGCTCAAGGGGCTACTTCTTTCAGATTTCTTCCATTGACCACCCCCATGACTTCTTCATTTCCCCCTGACCCTGAAACGTGCCCAGGAGCCTCTCACTCAGCCCTTTTCCCTTCCCTGGTGACAAAAGTCCCTGCGGCAAGCCTACCAGGACAATACATATTTTGAACCATGGCTTCCCCCAGTACTGAGATCACAACTGGTTCCTGGGGAAGGGGTGGGTGAGAAGCCAGGGACACAGGATTTCATGCTGAAATGACCCCTAAGTCAGGGTCAGTAACACTTCATCCCAGAGACGTCATCAGTTGCTGAACAGGCATACAGTCACACAATGATAAATGACCAGGGTTTTATTGAGAAAAAGTGGAAATGGGGAGGCTTTGAAACCAGCCCAGTCTGAGCAGACAGGGGTGGCAGTCCCAGGGGTACAGTGGAGAGGTGGCAAATGGGAGATCTGAGTAAGCAGAGACCCAGAATGTGAGAGCTCAGAGTCCTAGGAACACTCCGAGGGGACCACTGTCTTGTCCACAGTGGTGCCATCGTGCGTCACGTGGCAGCTGAACTGGCTGGCAGACTTCCACTTGCTGGCTGACATGCTCAGGTAGCTGCTGGCCGCATACTTGTTGTTGCTCTGTTTGGAGGGCTTGGTGGTCTCCACACCCTGGGACACAGGGCTGCCATTCTCCTTCCAGGCCACTGTCACGGCTCCAGGGTAGAAGTCACTGACCAGACACACCAGTGTGGCCTTGTTGGTGCTGAGCTCCTCAGAGGAGGGTGGGAACAGAGTGACTGAGGGTGCAGACTTGGGCTGACCTGTGGGGTGGGGGAGGGGCGGGAGGTCAGGTGTCTAGTTCAGAGGCCACTCTGGGTCTGAGGGTCCTTGCCATGCACAGCAGTTTGTTGTTGTCTTAACACAATTCTCCACTTTCCTGAGAAACCTGGAGCCTTGACACCTGCCTTCACCTGTTCGTGGTATCATCCTCTGCCCCACTGACATCCGACTGGCACCCTCTTGGCTGTGCTTATTCCTGATAAGAGCATCTGTCTGTCCTTCTGTTTGTCCCCAGAGGAGAAGATAGGAGCTCTCTGAGCTCCTCTGGGGCCAGTCTCTGTACATTCTGACCCGAGAAACCTCTGCTGGGCTCCTGGGGTCTTTGTTGAAAGGAGCCACATTTTCTCCAAAAGCTCTCTATCCTGGACCTTCTTTGTCATAGTAGCATTTTGTCTAGTCCAAGAGATGTCTTTCTGTCTGTCCTCAGTCTCTGTCCTTGTACAGTTGTCTCACCCCCTGCACACTCAGCACACTGGTCACACAGCTAGAGCCTTCATGCTGTAGATGGTGCCTTTCTTTAGTGAAGTTTGTCCTGCAGAGACTGAGGGACCCACCTTGTCCTCATCCCCTGTCATTGCCTGACCCTTCCTACAGCACCTTGTCCTCCCCACTGTGTTCTTTCTCCTGCAGGGCTCTCCTGTCCCAGCTGGTAAAGGACACTACATGACAGCTCTGTGGTGGCACCCGGAGTCCCACATATTTCCCTGCTTATGATAATAACGCCACACTCCTGAGGTCCTTCCCTTAACTTTACACCTGTGTGTCTCTAGCCATGACCCTGAGGGGTCTTGTTCCTTCAAAAGTGTGCACATTGTCATCCCCTCAATACTACTTACCCATTCCCTCCCCAAAGATAGAACCATTAGTAACCCCTAAAAATAAATCTAGAACACTGGGACTGGAACTGAACACAGAATGGAGCCGGTCATGAACCCAGCCTGACCCTGGCAGACCCACATGAGAGCCTACAAGTCACTCTGTCCATTCATCAGTCTGTGAGGTCAGACCTGAAGGTCGGCTAGTGACCAATGGAGCAAGGAAGACATTAAGAAGAGGGACAGAGGGAGCTCAGGGTCCCCATGGTTGGGATGCTGTGTGAAAGCTTTGCTACAGGATATGACATGACTCAGAAAAAGTTGAAAACAGCAGAAAATTTCCAAGCTGCTGGGAGAAGCAAGGAAGGAGGGGGAAGGACAGACTCACCTAGGACGGTCAGATGGGTCCCTCCGCCGAACACACCACACTGTGACACAGGCTCATACAAAAACCTCTGTGGGAGGCCCTGCCCCTCCCTTGAGCACCCCCAATTGCAGCTGTGATGCAAGAAGACTGAGCCTCTGTCCCAGGCTTCTGTCTGCTCTGTATAGGTCCCTGAAACCCCTACCCCACTCCCAGCTGCAACGTGTAACTGGACCAGTATCTCCTTGTACTCATGCGGGAAATCCAAACTCCAGAATGTAGGTGTTGTCTGGGATCCCTTGTCTCCATGATCTTCACCAGGAATGAAGATCAATTTCTTAGGAGACATTTGTGTCAGTAAGGAGTCAAGTTCCAGGTGAATGAGCAGAAGGTCTCTTCTTCCAGGGGTTTGGAGAATCCACAACTGCACCAGGGAAACCATGACCCTAGGGAGCAGTAGCCGTAGGAATGTACCAGTGGCCCCCAGCTGCACCCTGAGGTCTCAGCCTCATCTTCCCTGGGGACACATGAGTATGGGAATGCCCCGAGAAATCCTTCAACTTGTACTGTGAGCAGTGCCAGTCCATCTTCCATGAGGATCTGTGGAGACTCCCCCTTTTTCTTCCACAGTTGGTTTTTATAGGATGAGGGTCTGGTGGTCCTGAATCCTGCATTCATGTTCAGGGCGCCCTTTTGGGGTGGATTCCGGCCCTGGGTTTGGAAAGGTACAGGGAGCAAGGATTATGTTGTCGTGTATATGCAGGAGCCATGGATGTTCCCAGGTCATGCCAGGTCCCCAGGAGTCCCCAGCAGGGGCTCTAGCAGAGAAATTCCGTCATTGCCACAACACTGGCATGGACACTAGAGGATAATTGCCTTGTACTTGCAAAGCAGATACTGACACAGTGTTTCATTTGTTATTGTTTTATATGTTAATTGTCCCCTTAGTAGGGATGAAGGGAACCTTTTTTTTATTTTGTGGAGTAGAAAATAAAAGAAGAATCTTCACTTTCTAGTTTCACTAGAGAACACACACTCTTGTGTGAAGGAAGAGCACTGAATGCTCCCTAGTGATAAGTCAGACTGGGAGTGGTGTCCTGAGAACAAAGGAATTGCGGTGTCACCAGGGGGGCAGAAGGGTGAGGCCTGAGCCTGCTGTGTCCCAGAGTACACAGGGCCCCTGACCTGAAGACGTTAGAATCTTCTTCCTACTGCTCTCAAATTTCAGGTGACATGCCCTCCCTGGGACAAGACATGGTGCTCCCTCTGCACCCAGGAAGGTGCCCTTCCTCATCTCTTGTCCTGCCCTCCTGATGGCAAACACCACTGGCTCCCTCTGGGAACCAGCCTTGTGTTTGCTGCAGGACAGTCAGTGTGTGACTGAGCTATGGTCGCTTGAGGGACTTTGAGACACATGCTTAACAAACATGTTGCTCCAGATTTCTGTGGCTCTGTGGTGACAGGCAGAAGACAAAAGTCCTCCTTGTAATGGTTTACCCAAGTGGTTTTCATGAGAAAACAGGGAAGTTAAACAGCTATTTGTGTAAGAACAAGGCTTAGCTCAAGGCTCTTATTCTCCTATGTTTCTGCCATTGACCCTCCTGAGACCTCCTTATTTACCCCTGACCCTGAATGTGCCCAGAAGCATCTCACTCAGCCCTTTTCTCTTCCCTCGTGACAAAGGTCCCTGAGGCCATCCTAGCAGAATAAGTACATATTTTGAGTGATGGCTTCCCCTAGTACTGAGATCATAGCTCTTGGGTAGAAGGAGTGGGTGAGAAGCCAGGGACACAGGATTTCATGCTGAAATGACCCCTAAGTCAGGGTCAGTAACACTTCATCCCAGAGACGTCATCAGTTGCTGAACAGGCATACAGTCACACAATGATAAATGACCAGGGTTTTATTGAGAAAAAGTGGAAATGGGGAGGCTTTGAAACCAGCCCAGTCTGAGCAGACAGGGGTGGCAGTCCCAGGGGTACAGTGGAGAGGTGGCAAATGGGAGATCTGAGTAAGCAGAGACCCAGAATGTGAGGGCTCAGAGTCCTAGGAACACTCCGAGGGGACCACTGTCTTGTCCACAGTGGTGCCATCATGCGTCACGTGGCAGCTGAACTGGCTGGCAGACTTCCACTTGCTGGCTGACATGCTCAGGTAGCTGCTGGCCGCATACTTGTTGTTGCTCTGTTTGGAGGGCTTGGTGGTCTCCACACCCTGGGACACAGGGCTGCCATTCTCCTTCCAGGCCACTGTCACGGCTCCAGGGTAGAAGTCACTGACCAGACATACCAGTGTGGCCTTGTTGTTGCCGAGCTCCTCAGAGGAGGGTGGGAACAGAGTGACTGAAGGTGCAGACTTGGGCTGACCTGTGGGGTTGGAGAGGGGGAGGAGGTCATGGTGTCAGGATTTATCCTGGGGGTTCTTGACCTCAGTCTAGATGCCAGTAGCATACAGCCATTTTTAGGGCATGCACCCCAATTTCATCTTGAGTCCCCTTTATCTAGTCAGTGACAGGAGGGGGAGAGTTCCTGTAGGGAAAATGTCAAAACCTGACTCTTGAGAGTGCTGGTACCATTTTGCACATCATTGGTCCTCAGGTCCACTGTCCTCATTACCTGTCATCCTACCCTGTGCTCCCCTGGTCCTGACTGTTTATCTTGAGAGCTCATCTGTCCTTAGAGAATGAGTACATCTATCCTTCGCATAACTTGGAAACCAATTCCTGCGCCCAGTGTCTTCACAAGAGGGCCTGTGTCTGTCCTGGCTTCAGGCTGTCCTTCATTTGAGGGATGGCATATGTTGCTCACGGTCCCCAGAGCCCATAGCTGCAAGGAGGGCTACAGAAGTGAGGAGTGATGGGTGTTATCACTGTGGGCTCACTTTTATGGGGTTACCTGGGTTTCCATGGAACATGGCTGTTGAGTTCTTAGCCTGAGCCTGGGACTGTTCTGACTAGGACTTCCCGTTCTGGAAGCTTTACTGGGGAATCTGGCTGTCTTAGAACATCTATCTGCTAGGCCAGCTCTGCCCTTGTCACTTCTCCCAGGAGGTGTCCCCAGCCTGTGTTCTGGGCACTTGTTCTAGGCTTTGTCTCCCAGTGGAAATAGGGGTTGGGCAGTCATTGGGGCCTGTCTGATTGTCCCCCCACCTATTCTGTTTGGAGCTCCCACCACCTGTTCTGTCAGGGGGTCCTGCCACTTGTTCTGTCTGGGGGTTCAGCCTGTCTGGGGGAGAAAGAAAGATCCAGAACTCGAGGCTGTCTCACGGGAAATCTCCCTTCCACTCTGTCTGCCCTGTGTCTATTCCTCCCTCCTCTTCCTCCTCCTCTTCCTCCTCCTTCTCCTTTCTGGGTCTCAGTGAGGAGCTCCTCTTATAGCCCCTCTCTAACTTCCACTTACCCAGAAGAGGCAGAACCCAAAAGTGACACACACATGTACCATTCAGGGGACCCCAGCTTTGTACCCACATCCCATAACCCTGGATGACCATGGAGAGGCCCCTTCTCTCATGGCCCTTCAGTCCCTTAATTCTCCTAAGACCTCAGGCTGTGAGATCTGAGGGACCAGTCTCCTGGAGATGAAGAGGCAATGTCCCCTTGAGACAGATGTCTGGGCCACAGTGCAAAGTGGCAGAAAACAGAGCCTGGGTTACTCCGGTGTTGTCCCCAGCAGGTGCCTCAGGAGTTAAGAATTAGAGGGCTAAGACAGACAGCCAAAGGTGGGAGTTCCAGTATGCCAGAGAGATTCCAACCCCATCTCAACCCCATAAATGAGAAAAGGAGACAAATCAAGCCCAGTTTCACTCTGGACCCCAAGCAGGAGTGAAAAGGGAGACTCACCTAGGACGGTCAGAAAGGTCCCTCCGCCGAACACATAACACAGTGACACAGCCTTGAACACAAACCTCCTGTCACCCCCTCCAGCCCCTGCCCAGGCCCACCTGCAGCTGCACGGGAGGCCCAAAGTCCAGCCTCCTTGTCACGCATGCTGATCGGGCAGAGGGGGGCTGGTGGGGGCAGTGAGAAGGGTGGCCCTGTGGATAGAATTTCCATTCTCTGGAGCTGTGGGGCTCCATGAGTTCTAGGCTATCATGATGTGGCGCGGCAGAGAATGTGCTAGTGCTGAGTCAGGATTTCCACCTGCCTCCATCTTTGGGAAGGAGCCGTGTTCTGGCCAAGCCCCTGGCACACTGTCACTGTGGAATTGTTTATACAGAGTGGCAATGGGTCTGGGAGCCCTGAGGAGAGCTGGGAATTGTGGGGAGGTCCTGGATGCCATCACATCCCCAGCACACGAGGTCAAGTCGGGTCAGGGTTGGGGATGGAAGTGTGTGTATGGTAGTATCACATTCACCCCAGTACCTAGACCAGTCTGCAGAGACCCACGTTGTGGTGTCCCTGCCCTCAGCTGAGCCAGCCTCATTGGGAGAGTCACTGAGCCCCTCCTGAGCAGTGTGGGCAGCTTCAATCTGTGTGAGTCCATGGGCTGAATTAGAGGTGCAATGGCCCCTTCAGGACCCTGCACGGTCAGCCCGGTGGTCACTTCTGCCAGCACAGTGTTTCCTGTGAGCACTCAGTGTGTGAGTTCCTGAGCTCCCTTACACCCCCGAGTGACAGATGTCCGAGTTCACCAAAGTCAGTAGCACAGGGTGCAGCACCAGCCTTCCCAAGACATTGCAGCCCTGGGCTGAACGTGCCTGTTGTGAGTGGGAACCTGACACCCAGGGGCTCAGTCCTCATTCTTGTCCTGTACATCATCTGCAGGGCTCACTCAAGGGACACACAGGCCTGGGGTCCTTCTCTGACCGCATCAGGGCCGCTGAACACTCTTCCTTCCTTTGCCGGCCCACTGTTGAAGGCTGTACTCCCTCCTGGAAACTCCCTCAGGTTTCAGTCTCACTCTCAATCTGGACCAGCGTGTCCCTGCCCTTTGTCTGGTCACTGATGATCTCTGGAGCCGGGACTGCAGTGAGCTGCCTCTCTTTGTTCGTGTGAACCTGGGGTCCCGACTGAACACCTTCCTGATCTTCTGCAGGGCTTCTCAGAGCGATGCCCTTTAAGGGCATCTTTGTAAATGGATGTGTGTCTTAATGAACATCATGTGTGTGAGTGTGTGTATGTGCACCTACACATGTGTGTGTTACTGTTCTGATTTTACCCATAGAAGGTGAACTGATTATTGAAGAGTCAATGGCCTGTTCTTAGAATTTGATTCTTGACTTTGATAGAGGAGCAGGCAGGTCACTGAGAACACTGGACATTAGACCTTGGTGTGGGATGAGTGGGGGCTGGCCTGGAAAGGGATGAAGAGAGCACAAATGTCCTGCCAGCTCACATAGAGCGGGGACCCTGGTGATACCTGTGAGAGGTGAGGGTCACTGTAGAGAGTGTGAGAATGAGCGACCAGGTTCCAGAGACTGAGGGTCTTGTGGTAAGAGTGTCAGTGAGGGAGCAGTAACTGAAGCACAGAGCATATCCTCCCTGGGAGAGCAGGAGTAGTGGTGGTGGGGTCTATAAACAAGAAGGCAGTTCCTAGCCTGTGAGGATGAGAAGCTTCCAGATGGGGTGGGGGCCATGCAAGGCTTGTGAATAAGAAGAATGAGGATTTCCTGGAAGAGCACTCAGGAATGACCCTGCTGTCCATGGGGACACAGCCTTGGGATTGGACATGGTCCACAGAAGAAAAGCAGTAGTAAGGAAATTTCAAAGGGAGGGCTCTCCTAGGTCATATGCCCTTTCCTCCTTTCTGGAACATTCTACGGGACCTGTAGGTTAATAGTGAAACTGCCACTTAAGGAAACTTGGAGGCTATTTTCCTGAACATGGTCTACAGGGCCAGAGGGTTGTGTCCACTTTGCATTTGGTGGAGTGTGGACAAAAATGAGTAAAGCAAAGATGAGCAGAGAACATGATGTCTAATTGACAAGGCAGATATTTTATTGACAGATGATTCTGTTCAGGAGGAAGATGGATTGGGGTTTGTTAGGGAGATTTGTTCAGGGTCGTGTGGTTCCAACCCAGGGAGTTGTGGAGTGAGGGATCTAGGAACACTCTGAGGGGACCACTGTCTTGTCCACAGTGGTGCCATCGTGTGTCACGTGGCAGCTGAACTGGCTGGCAGATTTCCACTTGCTGGCTGACACGCTCAGGTAGCTGCTGGCCGCATACTTGTTGTTGCTCTGTTTGGAGGGCTTGGTGGTCTCCACACCCTGGGACACAGGGCTGCCATTCTCCTTCCAGGCCACTGTCACGGCTCCAGGGTAGAAGTCACTGACCAGACACACCAGTGTGGCTTTGTTGTTGCTGAGCTCCTCAGAGGAGGGTGGGAACAGAGTGACTGAGGGTGCGGACTTGGGCTGACCTGTGGGGTGGGGGTGGAGGGGGAGCAGGAGGTCAGGTGTCTAGTTCAGAGGTCACTCTGGGTCTGAGGGTCCTTGTAATAATCAGCAGTTTCCTGTGTTCTTAACACAAGTTCCCTCTCTCCTGAGAAACCCAGAGCCTGGACACCTGCCTTCACCAGTCTTTTGGACCCTTATCTGTCATACAGACATGTGATTAACACCCCCTTGGTTGTGCCTATTCCTCAAAGCAGGGTCTGTCTGTTCTTCTGTTTGTCCCCAGAGAAGAAGATATGAGTTCTCTGAGCTCCTCTGGGGTTAGTCTCTGTACATTTCTGACCTGACCCTTCTATGCTGGGCCCTTAGGGTCTTTGTTCAAAGGGCCTCGTTTTCCTCTGAAATCTCTCCTGTGTCTTGTCTGAAATAGCAGGTCTTAGGTAGTCAAAGAGAAGCCTCTCTGTCTGACCTTGGTCTCTGTCCTTGTACATTTTTTACACCCCCTGCACACTCAGCCCACTGGTCATATAGCTAGAGTCTTCATGCTGTAGAGTGTGCTCTTCTTAGTGTGAAGTTTGTCCTGCAGAGACCCAGGGACCCCTCTTGTCATCATCCCCTGTCATTGCATGACCCTTCCTCCAGCCCCTTCTCCTCCCCACTGTGTTCTCTCTCCTGTAGGGTTCTCCCATTCCAGTTGGTAAAGGACACTGCATGACAGCTCTGTGCAGCCCCCCTCAGGCTGCATATTTCCTGTCCTGTGATCATAACCACACACCCCTGAATTCTTCACTTAACTCTACACCTGTGTTTCGCTAGCCATCACCCGGAGGGTTCTTGTTCCTTCAAAAGTCTGCACATTGTCACCCCTCAATACTACTTACTCATTCTCCCCCCAAAGATGGGACCATTAGTGTCCCCTAGAAATACATCTAGAACACCGGGACTAGAAGGAAAACACAGAATGGAGCCGGTCATGAACCCAGCCTGACCCTGGCAGACCCACATGAGAGCCTACAAGTCACTCTGTCCATTCATCAGTCTGTGAGGTCAGACCTGAAGGTCGGCTAGTGACCAATGGAGCAAGGAAGACATTAAGAAGAGGGACAGAGGGAGCTCAGGGTCCCCATGGTTGGGATGCTGTGTGAAAGCTTTGCTATAGGATATGACATGACCTAGAAAAAGTTGAAAACAGCAGAAAATTTCCAAGCTGCTGGGAGAAGCATGGAAGGAGGGGGAAGGACAGACTCACCTAGGACGGTCAGATGGGTCCCTCCGCCGAACACACGACACTGTGACACAGGCTCATACAAAAACCTCTGTGGGAGGCCCTGCCCTACCCTTGAGCACCCCCAATTGCAGCTGTGATGCAAGAAGACTGAGCCTCTGTCCCAGGCTTCTGTCTGCTCTGTATAGGTCCCTGAAACCCCCACCCCACTCCCAGCTGCAACATGTAACTGGACCAGTATCTCCTTGTACTCATGGGTGGGCTGCCAGGAAAGCCAAACTCCAGAATGTAGGTGTTGTCTGGGATCCCTTGTCTCCATGATCTTCACCAGGAATGAAGATCAATTTCTTAGGAGACATTTGTGTCAGTAAGGAGTCAAGTTCCAGGTGAATGAGCAGAAGGTCTCTTCTTCCAGGGGTTTGGAGAATCCACAACTGCACCAGGGAAACCATGACCCTAGGGAGCAGTAGCCGTAGGAATGTACCAGTGGCCCTCAGCTGCACCCTGAGGTCTCAGCCTCATCTTCCCTGGGGACACATGAGTATGGGAATGCCCTGAGAAATCCTTCAACTTGTACTGTGAGCAGTGCCAGCCCATCCTCCATGAGGAACTCTGGAGACTCCCCTTTTCTTCCACAGTTGGTTTTTATAGGATGAGGGTCTGGTGGTCCTGAATCCTGCATTCATGTTCAGGGCACCCTTTCAGGGTGGATTCCAGCCTTGTGTTTGGAAAGGAACAGGGAGTAAGAATCATGTTGTCATCCATATGCAGGATTCATGGAGGTTCTCAGGTCGTGTCAGGGTCTGTAGGAGCCTCCTGCAGAGACTCTAGCAGAGAAGTTCCATCATTGCAACTACACTGGGGTGGACACTAGAGGATAATTGCCTTGTACTTGCATAGCAGATACAGATGCAATGTGTTGTTTGTCATTGTTTTATGTGTTAATTATCCCCTTGGTTGGGCTGCATTGTCTCTGCCTCCATTTATGAAGTGGAGAATGGAGAAAAAATCACCACTTTCTATTTCTCACTAGAGACACACACACTCTGAGGTGAAGGAAGAGCTGGTGAAGGCCCCTGGGGTTGGGCCTAGTGGATGTGGGGCCCTGAGCTCCAGGGCGGTGCTGTTTCCCGGGTCAGGTGGGGCTGACCTGGCTGTAGCCCACAGGACCCCTGCCCTGATGTTCTTATGACCTTCCCATGCTCACCTCCAGAACTCCAGGGGTCAGACCTCCCTGGGACAGGACATGGTGCTCCCTCTGCACCCAGGAAGGTGCCCTTCCTCATCTCTTGTCCCGCCCTAATGACGGCAGACACACCTGCTCCCTCTGGGAACCAGCCTTGTGTTTGCTGCAGGACAGTCAGTGTCTGACTGAGCTACGGTCCTGTGAGGGACTTTGAGACACAAACTTATGGGACACGTTCCTCCAGGTTTCTGTGTCTCTATGGTGACAGAAAGAAGACAAAAGTCCTCACCTTGTAAAGGTTTTCCCCAGTGGGCTTCATGAGGGATCAGGGAAATTAAACAACTATTCCTGTAAGAACAAGTGTTGGCTCAAGGGTCTTCTTCTTTCAAACTCCTGCCATTGACCTTCCTGGGACCTCTTCATTTCCCCCTGACCCTGAAACATGCCCAGAAGCCTGTTACTCAGCCCTTTTCCCTTTTCTGGTGACAAAGGTCCCTGGGGACAGCCTACCAGGACAAGTAGATATTTTGGGTCATGAATTCACCCAGTACTGAGATCACAGCTGGCTCCCGGGGAAGGGGTGCCAGGGACACAGGATTTCATGCTGGAATGACTCCTGAGTCTGGGTGAGTAACACTTCATCCCAGAGGTGTCATCAGTTGCTGAACAGGCATACAGTCACACAATGATAAATGACCAGGGCTTTATTGAGAAACTGTGGAAATGGGGAGACAGTGAGGCCAGTCCAGTCTGGAAAGAACTGGGCTAGAGTCCCAGGGGTACAGTGGAGAACTGGAGAATGGGGTTTGTGGGTGAGCAGAGTCCCAGAAAATGGGGGCTCAGTGTCCTAGGAACACTCTGAGGGGACCACTGTCTTGTCCACAGTGGTGCCATCGTGCGTCACGTGGCAGCTGAACTGGCTGGCAGATTTCCACTTGCTGGCTGACATGCTCAGGTAGCTGCTGGCCGCATACTTGTTGTTGCTCTGTTTGGAGGGCTTGGTGGTCTCCACACCCTGGGACACAGGGCTGCCATTCTCCTTCCAGGCCACTGTCACGGCTCCAGGGTAGAAGTCACTGGCCAGACACACCAGTGTGGCCTTGTTGTTGCTGAGCTCCTCAGAGGAGGGTGGAAAAAGAGTGACTGAGGGTGCAGACTTGGGCTGACCTGTGGGGTGGGGGAGGGGGAGGAGGTCAGAGGCTCAGCATTCATCCTGAGAGCTCCTGATCTCCATCTTGTTGTGGGGTGCACAGTCCCCAGGATTCAATCTGCTCCCTAATTTCAGGACTACTCTGGTTTGAGGTCTGTGGCAGAGAGACCATATTGGGTGTCTGCTCTTACAACTTCCCTCCTTCCTAGGGTAACAGGAGGCTGGACATCTGCCATCAATGTCCTCAGGCCCTCCTAGGCACTGGCCATTCAAACAGACATCTGACCTGCATCTTCCTGCTCTGGTTCCTCCTGACATTCTAATGGAGTCTTTGTGTGGGGAGTCTGCCCTTCATCAGAGAAGATGATGTACACTCTGACCTTCAACTGGGACAATCCTTAAGCATTTGTCACCCTTCTCATCTGCTTAGGCCTTTGTCCTAAAAGGTCTTTTTCTACTCAAGTCTACCTCTCCCGATCCTTTCTAATGGGGTGGGGTAGTCACAGAGGAGGGAGATTCTGTCTGCCTGTCCTTAGGTCTCTCCCATCTGCAGAGTTGATTGGAGGCTCACCTGTGGTAGTTGATTGTCCTAAGATCTAACACTGAGGTATGTGCAATCTTTTTTGTCAAGGATCTGTACTTCTGAGGAGCATATCCCTTGAAATCCTTGAGGCCACTCTCCTACTGTCCCCTGTCCCTCCATTCTCCTTATCCCACTCTTAGCATCCAGAGCATTAAAATCCCCACTCTGCAGTCCCCCTCCCCTGCTGCCTGGTTCTCTGGGTCCCACACTGGCTGAGGATTGTGCATAGCAGGTCCATGGAGCCTCTCCTCCCCTGCACCATTGCCAGCCCTGAATCCTCAGTCCCCCAGCCCTGAAGAGCTTCTCTGAATACTGACCCGTCTGTCCCTGGACTCAGCTCAGAGCATTTGGAGTCACCTCCCAGTGTATAGTCTCCCTTTGCACATTAAATGGGTGCCCAAATGACCCCCAGATTCAGGCTGCTCCCACAGGAGCCCATAGGACAAGACAGAACAGAGCAGGTCCAGAACCCAGCCTGACCCTGGCAGACAGATAGAAGAGTCTACAGGTCATCTCATTCCTTCCTCTGCCTGTGGGGTCAGAGGTGAAGGCTGATGAGACCAGTGGAGGCAGACAGGACAGACAGAACAGAGATGGAAAAGGTCACAACCTGAGAATGGGGTCTGGACTGAAAGCTTGGGTAGAGGGCAAGAAAAAGGGAGTGAAAAGAGGGAGAAAATTGCCCAAACCTCTGAGAGAGCATGGAAGGAAGGGTGAAGAAGAGACTCACCTAGGACGGTCACCTGGGTCCCACTGCCGAACACGAAACACTGTGACACAGCCTCATACAAAAACCTCTCCCTTGGAGGCCCTGCCCCACCCCTAAGCCCCCCACCTGCAGCTGTAGTGGAAGAAGCTGGGGTCACTGTTGCAGGCACATGCCTGCTGTGTAAGCAATGTATTAGCCTCCCCCCAACACCCATCTCCTCCATGTAACAGGAGAGATGAATGCTTGTGCTCAATAGAAGGAGTCTGAAAATCCAGGCTCCTGAATGTAGTTCTCATGCATTCCGTTTGCCATGAACTTCTTTAGGAGTGGGAATGGATTTATTGGAAGGCATTTATGCCACTGGGAGTAAAGCTCCATAACAATGGAGAGAAGGTCTTTCCTTTCAGGGTTGAAAGAACATGATCCCCTGGGTGCACTCAGGGAAGGGTGACTCTCACACACCTCAAGGATGAGAGAGGGCCCCAGAGAGCAGTAGCCATAGGAATGTACCAGTGGACCCCAGCTGCACCCTGGGGTCTCAGCCTCATCTTACCAGGGACATGTCAGTTTGGGATTGCCCTGCAGGATTCTTTAACTTGTACTGTGAGCAGAGCCAGCCTGTCCTCCATGAGGAACTAGGAGACTCCCCTTTTCCTTCCACAATCCGGTTTTATGGGATGAGGGTCTTGTGGTCCTGAATCCTGCATTCATGTTCAGGGCACCCTTTCAGGATGGATTCTAGCCCTGTGTTTGGAAAGGCACAGGGAGTAAGGATCATGTTGTCATCCATATGCAGGATTCATGGAGGTTCTCAGGTCGTGTCAGGGTCTGTAGGAGCCTCCTGCAGGGACTCTAGCAGAGAAGTTCCATCATTGCAACCACATTGGGGTGGACACTAGAGGATAATTGCCTTGTAGTTGCATAGCAGATAAAGATGCAATGTGTCATTTGTCATTGATTTATATGTTAATTATCCCCTTAGTAGGGTTGCATTGTCTCTGCCTCCATTTGTGAGATGGGGAATGGAGAAAATAATCACCACTTTCTATTTCTTACTAGAGAACAAACACACTCTGATGTGTGAAGGAAGAGCTGTTGACGGCCCCTGGGGGGTTAGGTCTAGTGGGTGTGGGGCCCTGAGATTCAGGGCAGTGCTGTTTCCGGGGAGGATGGGACTGACCTGGCTGTAGCCCACGGGACTCCTGCCCTGAATTCTTCTGACCTTCTCACGCTCTACTCCAGAACTCCAGGGTCAAACCTCCGTGGGACAGGACATGGTGCTCCCTCTGCACCTAGGAAGGTGCCCTTCTTCATTTCGTGTCCTGCCCTCATGACAGTGGACACCACCTGCTCCCCTCCGGGACCCCGCTGTGTGTTTGCTGCAGGACAGTCAGTGTCTGACTGAGCTGCGGTCCCTTGAGAGACTTTGAGACACATGCTTAAGGGACACATTACTCCCGATTTCTGTGGCTTTGTGGTGACAAAGATCCTGACCTTGTAATGGTTCACCCCAGTGGGTTTCATGAGGGAACAGGGAAGTTTAACAGCTGTTCCTATAAGAACAAAGCTTGGCTCAAGGGGCTACTTCTTTCAGATTTCTTCCATTGACCACCCCCATGACTTCTTCATTTCCCCCTGACCCTGAAACGTGCCCAGGAGCCTCTCACTCAGCCCTTTTCCCTTCCCTGGTGACAAAAGTCCCTGCGGCAAGCCTACCAGGACAATACATATTTTGAACCATGGCTTCCCCCAGTACTGAGATCACAACTGGTTCCTGGGGAAGGGGTGGGTGAGAAGCCAGGGACACAGGATTTCATGCTGAAATGACCCCTAAGTCAGGGTCAGTAACACTTCATCCCAGAGACGTCATCAGTTGCTGAACAGGCATACAGTCACACAATGATAAATGACCAGGGTTTTATTGAGAAAAAAGTGGAAATGGGGAGGCTTTGAAACCAGCCCAGTCTGAGCAGACAGGGGTGGCAGTCCCAGGGGTACAGTGGAGAGGTGGCAAATGGGAGATCTGAGTAAGCAGAGACCCAGAATGTGAGGGCTCAGAGTCCTAGGAACACTCCGAGGGGACCACTGTCTTGTCCACAGTGGTGCCATCGTGCGTCACGTGGCAGCTGAACTGGCTGGCAGACTTCCACTTGCTGGCTGACATGCTCAGGTAGCTGCTGGCCGCATACTTGTTGTTGCTCTGTTTGGAGGGCTTGGTGGTCTCCACACCCTGGGACACAGGGCTGCCATTCTCCTTCCAGGCCACTGTCACGGCTCCAGGGTAGAAGTCACTGACCAGACACACCAGTGTGGCCTTGTTGGTGCTGAGCTCCTCAGAGGAGGGTGGGAACAGAGTGACTGAGGGTGCAGACTTGGGCTGACCTGTGGGGTGGGGGAGGGGCGGGAGGTCAGGTGTCTAGTTCAGAGGCCACTCTGGGTCTGAGGGTCCTTGCCATGCACAGCAGTTTGTTGTTGTCTTAACACAATTCTCCACTTTCCTGAGAAACCTGGAGCCTTGACACCTGCCTTCACCTGTTCGTGGTATCATCCTCTGCCCCACTGACATCCGACTGGCACCCTCTTGGCTGTGCTTATTCCTGATAAGAGCATCTGTCTGTCCTTCTGTTTGTCCCCAGAGGAGAAGATAGGAGCTCTCTGAGCTCCTCTGGGGCCAGTCTCTGTACATTCTGACCCGAGAAACCTCTGCTGGGCTCCTGGGGTCTTTGTTGAAAGGAACCACATTTTCTCCAAAAGCTCTCTATCCTGGACCTTCTTTGTCATAGTAGCATTTTGTCTAGTCCAAGAGATGTCTTTCTGTCTGTCCTCAGTCTCTGTCCTTGTACAGTTGTCTCACCCCCCTGCACACTCAGCACACTGGTCACACAGCTAGAGCCTTCATGCTGTAGATGGTGCCTTTCTTTAGTGAAGTTTGTCCTGCAGAGACTGAGGGACCCACCTTGTCCTCATCCCCTGTCATTGCCTGACCCTTCCTACAGCACCTTGTCCTCCCCACTGTGTTCTTTCTCCTGCAGGGCTCTCCTGTCCCAGCTGGTAAAGGACACTACATGACAGCTCTGTGGTGGCACCCGGAGTCCCACATATTTCCCTGCTTATGATAATAACGCCACACTCCTGAGGTCCTTCCCTTAACTTTACACCTGTGTGTCTCTAGCCATGACCCTGAGGGGTCTTGTTCCTTCAAAAGTGTGCACATTGTCATCCCCTCAATACTACTTACCCATTCCCTCCCCAAAGATAGAACCATTAGTAACCCCTAAAAATAAATCTAGAACACTGGGACTGGAACTGAACACAGAATGGAGCCGGTCATGAACCCAGCCTGACCCTGGCAGACCCACATGAGAGCCTACAAGTCACTCTGTCCATTCATCAGTCTGTGAGGTCAGACCTGAAGGTCGGCTAGTGACCAATGGAGCAAGGAAGACATTAAGAAGAGGGACAGAGGGAGCTCAGGGTCCCCATGGTTGGGATGCTGTGTGAAAGCTTTGCTACAGGATATGACATGACTCAGAAAAAGTTGAAAACAGCAGAAAATTTCCAAGCTGCTGGGAGAAGCAAGGAAGGAGGGGGAAGGACAGACTCACCTAGGACGGTCAGATGGGTCCCTCCGCCGAACACACCACACTGTGACACAGGCTCATACAAAAACCTCTGTGGGAGGCCCTGCCCCTCCCTTGAGCACCCCCAATTGCAGCTGTGATGCAAGAAGACTGAGCCTCTGTCCCAGGCTTCTGTCTGCTCTGTATAGGTCCCTGAAACCCCTACCCCACTCCCAGCTGCAACGTGTAACTGGACCAGTATCTCCTTGTACTCATGCGTGGAAATCCAAACTCCAGAATGTAGGTGTTGTCTGGGATCCCTTGTCTCCATGATCTTCACCAGGAATGAAGATCAATTTCTTAGGAGACATTTGTGTCAGTAAGGAGTCAAGTTCCAGGTGAATGAGCAGAAGGTCTCTTCTTCCAGGGGTTTGGAGAATCCACAACTGCACCAGGGAAACCATGACCCTAGGGAGCAGTAGCCGTAGGAATGTACCAGTGGCCCCCAGCTGCACCCTGAGGTCTCAGCCTCATCTTCCCTGGGGACACATGAGTATGGGAATGCCCCGAGAAATCCTTCAACTTGTACTGTGAGCAGTGCCAGTCCATCTTCCATGAGGATCTGTGGAGACTCCCCTTTTTCTTCCACAGTTGGTTTTTATAGGATGAGGGTCTGGTGGTCCTGAATCCTGCATTCATGTTCAGGGCGCCCTTTTGGGGTGGATTCCGGCCCTGGGTTTGGAAAGGTACAGGGAGCAAGGATTATGTTGTCGTGTATATGCAGGAGCCATGGATGTTCCCAGGTCATGCCAGGTCCCCAGGAGTCCCCAGCAGGGGCTCTAGCAGAGAAATTCCGTCATTGCCACAACACTGGCATGGACACTAGAGGATAATTGCCTTGTACTTGCAAAGCAGATACTGACACAGTGTTTCATTTGTTATTGTTTTATATGTTAATTGTCCCCTTAGTAGGGATGAAGGGAACCTTTTTTTTATTTTGTGGAGTAGAAAATAAAAGAAGAATCTTCACTTTCTAGTTTCACTAGAGAACACACACTCTTGTGTGAAGGAAGAGCACTGAATGCTCCCTAGTGATAAGTCAGACTGGGAGTGGTGTCCTGAGAACAAAGGAATTGCGGTGTCACCAGGGGGGCAGAAGGGTGAGGCCTGAGCCTGCTGTGTCCCAGAGTACACAGGGCCCCTGACCTGAAGACGTTAGAATCTTCTTCCTACTGCTCTCAAATTTCAGGTGACATGCCCTCCCTGGGACAAGACATGGTGCTCCCTCTGCACCCAGGAAGGTGCCCTTCCTCATCTCTTGTCCTGCCCTCCTGATGGCAAACACCACTGGCTCCCTCTGGGAACCAGCCTTGTGTTTGCTGCAGGACAGTCAGTGTGTGACTGAGCTATGGTCGCTTGAGGGACTTTGAGACACATGCTTAACAAACATGTTGCTCCAGATTTCTGTGGCTCTGTGGTGACAGGCAGAAGACAAAAGTCCTCCTTGTAATGGTTTACCCAAGTGGTTTTCATGAGAAAACAGGGAAGTTAAACAGCTATTTGTGTAAGAACAAGGCTTAGCTCAAGGCTCTTATTCTCCTATGTTTCTGCCATTGACCCTCCTGAGACCTCCTTATTTACCCCTGACCCTGAATGTGCCCAGAAGCATCTCACTCAGCCCTTTTCTCTTCCCTCGTGACAAAGGTCCCTGAGGCCATCCTAGCAGAATAAGTACATATTTTGAGTGATGGCTTCCCCTAGTACTGAGATCATAGCTCTTGGGTAGAAGGAGTGGGTGAGAAGCCAGGGACACAGGATTTCATGCTGGAATGACCCCTGATTCTGGGTGATTAACACTTCATTCCAGAGATGTCATCAAATGCTGAACAGGCATACAGTCACACAATGATAAATGACCAGGGTTTTATTGAGAAAAAGTGGAAATGGGGAGGCTTTGAAACCAGCCCAGTCTGAGCAGACAGGGGTGGCAGTCCCAGGGGTACAGTGGAGAGGTGGCAAATGGGAGATCTGAGTAAGCAGAGACCCAGAATGTGAGGGCTCAGAGTCCTAGGAACACTCCGAGGGGACCACTGTCTTGTCCACAGTGGTGCCATCATGCGTCACGTGGCAGCTGAACTGGCTGGCAGACTTCCACTTGCTGGCTGACATGCTCAGGTAGCTGCTGGCCGCATACTTGTTGTTGCTCTGTTTGGAGGGCTTGGTGGTCTCCACACCCTGGGACACAGGGCTGCCATTCTCCTTCCAGGCCACTGTCACGGCTCCAGGGTAGAAGTCACTGGCCAGACATACCAGTGTGGCCTTGTTGTTGCCGAGCTCCTCAGAGGAGGGTGGGAACAGAGTGACTGAAGGTGCAGACTTTTGCTGACCTGTGGGGTTGGAGAGGGGGGAGGAGGTCATGGTGTCAGGATTTATCCTGGGGGTTCTTGACCTCAGTCTAGATGCCAGTAGCATACAGCCATTTTTAGGGCATGCACCCCAATTTCATCTTGAGTCCCCTTTATCTAGTCAGTGACAGGAGGGGAGAGTTCCTGTAGGGAAAATGTCAAAACCTGACTCTTGAGAGTGCTGGTACCATTTTGCACATCATTGGTCCTCAGGTCCACTGTCCTCATTACCTGTCATCCTACCCTGTGCTCCCCTGGTCCTGACTGTTTATCTTGAGAGCTCATCTGTCCTTAGAGAATGAGTACATCTATCCTTCGCATAACTTGAAACCAATTCCTGCGCCCAGTGTCTTCACAAGAGGGCCTGTGTCTGTCCTGGCTTCAGGCTGTCCTTCATTTGAGGGATGGCATATGCTGCTCACGGTCCCCAGAGCCCATAGCTGCAAGGAGGGCTACAGAAGTGAGGAGTGATGGGTGTTATCACTGTGGGCTCACTTTTATGGGGTTACCTGGGTTTCCATGGAACATGGCTGTTGAGTTCTTAGCCTGAGCCTGGGACTGTTCTGACTAGGACTTCCCGTTCTGGAAGCTTTACTGGGGAATCTGGCTGTCTTAGAACATCTATCTGCTAGGCCAGCTCTGCCCTTGTCACTTCTCCCAGGAGGTGTCCCCAGCCTGTGTTCTGGGCACTTGTTCTAGGCTTTGTCTCCCAGTGGAAATAGGGGTTGGGCAGTCATTGGGGCCTGTCTGATTGTCCCCCCACCTATTCTGTTTGGAGCTCCCACCACCTGTTCTGTCAGGGGGTCCTGCCACTTGTTCTGTCTGGGGGTTCAGCCTGTCTGGGGGAGAAAGAAAGATCCAGAACTCGAGGCTGTCTCACGGGAAATCTCCCTTCCACTCTGTCTGCCCTGTGTCTATTCCTCCTCCTCTTCCTCCTCCTTCTCCTTTCTGGGTCTCAGTGAGGAGCTCCTCTTATAGCCCCTCTCTAACTTCCACTTACCCAGAAGAGGCAGAACCCAAAAGTGACACACACATGTACCATTCAGGGGACCCCAGCTTTGTACCCACATCCCATAACCCTGGATGACCATGGAGAGGCCCCTTCTCTCATGGCCCTTCAGTCCCTTAATTCTCCTAAGACCTCAGGCTGTGAGATCTGAGGGACCAGTCTCCTGGAGATGAAGAGGCAATGTCCCCTTGAGACAGATGTCTGGGCCACAGTGCAAAGTGGCAGAAAACAGAGCCTGGGTTACTCCGGTGTTGTCCCCAGCAGGTGCCTCAGGAGTTAAGAATTAGAGGGCTAAGACAGACAGCCAAAGGTGGGAGTTCCAGTATGCCAGAGAGATTCCAACCCCATCTCAACCCCATAAATGAGAAAAGGAGACAAATCAAGCCCAGTTTCACTCTGGACCCCAAGCAGGAGTGAAAAGGGAGACTCACCTAGGACGGTCAGAAAGGTCCCTCCGCCGAACACATAACACAGTGACACAGCCTTGAACACAAACCTCCTGTCACCCCCTCCAGCCCCTGCCCAGGCCCACCTGCAGCTGCACGGGAGGCCCAAAGTCCAGCCTCCTTGTCACGCATGCTGATCGGGCAGAGGGGGGCTGGTGGGGGCAGTGAGAAGGGTGGCCCTGTGGATAGAATTTCCATTCTCTGGAGCTGTGGGGCTCCATGAGTTCTAGGCTATCATGATGTGGCGCGGCAGAGAATGTGCTAGTGCTGAGTCAGGATTTCCACCTGCCTCCATCTTTGGGAAGGAGCCGTGTTCTGGCCAAGCCCCTGGCACACTGTCACTGTGGAATTGTTTATACAGAGTGGCAATGGGTCTGGGAGCCCTGAGGAGAGCTGGGAATTGTGGGGAGGTCCTGGATGCCATCACATCCCCAGCACACGAGGTCAAGTCGGGTCAGGGTTGGGGATGGAAGTGTGTGTATGGTAGTATCACATTCACCCCAGTACCTAGACCAGTCTGCAGAGACCCACGTTGTGGTGTCCCTGCCCTCAGCTGAGCCAGCCTCATTGGGAGAGTCACTGAGCCCCTCCTGAGCAGTGTGGGCAGCTTCAATCTGTGTGAGTCCATGGGCTGAATTAGAGGTGCAATGGCCCCTTCAGGACCCTGCACGGTCAGCCCGGTGGTCACTTCTGCCAGCACAGTGTTTCCTGTGAGCACTCAGTGTGTGAGTTCCTGAGCCCCCTTACACCCCCGAGTGACAGATGTCCGAGTTCACCAAAGTCAGTAGCACAGGGTGCAGCACCAGCCTTCCCAAGACATTGCAGCCCTGGGCTGAACGTGCCTGTTGTGAGTGGGAACCTGACACCCAGGGGCTCAGTCCTCATTCTTGTCCTGTACATCATCTGCAGGGCTCACTCAAGGGACACACAGGCCTGGGGTCCTTCTCTGACCGCATCAGGGCCGCTGAACACTCTTCCTTCCTTTGCCGGCCCACTGTTGAAGGCTGTACTCCCTCCTGGAAACTCCCTCAGGTTTCAGTCTCACTCTCAATCTGGACCAGCGTGTCCCTGCCCTTTGTCTGGTCACTGATGATCTCTGGAGCCGGGACTGCAGTGAGCTGCCTCTCTTTGTTCGTGTGAACCTGGGGTCCCGACTGAACACCTTCCTGATCTTCTGCAGGGCTTCTCAGAGCGATGCCCTTTAAGGGCATCTTTGTAAATGGATGTGTGTCTTAATGAACATCATGTGTGTGAGTGTGTGTATGTGCACCTACACATGTGTGTGTTACTGTTCTGATTTTACCCATAGAAGGTGAACTGATTATTGAAGAGTCAATGGCCTGTTCTTAGAATTTGATTCTTGACTTTGATAGAGGAGCAGGCAGGTCACTGAGAACACTGGACATTAGACCTTGGTGTGGGATGAGTGGGGGGCTGGCCTGGAAAGGGATGAAGAGAGCACAAATGTCCTGCCAGCTCACATAGAGCGGGGACCCTGGTGATACCTGTGAGAGGTGAGGGTCACTGTAGAGAGTGTGAGAATGAGCGACCAGGTTCCAGAGACTGAGGGTCTTGTGGTAAGAGTGTCAGTGAGGGAGCAGTAACTGAAGCACAGAGCATATCCTCCCTGGGAGAGCAGGAGTAGTGGTGGTGGGGTCTATAAACAAGAAGGCAGTTCCTAGCCTGTGAGGATGAGAAGCTTCCAGATGGGGTGGGGGCCATGCAAGGCTTGTGAATAAGAAGAATGAGGATTTCCTGGAAGAGCACTCAGGAATGACCCTGCTGTCCATGGGGACACAGCCTTGGGATTGGACATGGTCCACAGAAGAAAAGCAGTAGTAAGGAAATTTCAAAGGGAGGGCTCTCCTAGGTCATATGCCCTTTCCTCCTTTCTGGAACATTCTACGGGACCTGTAGGTTAATAGTGAAACTGCCACTTAAGGAAACTTGGAGGCTATTTTCCTGAACATGGTCTACAGGGCCAGAGGGTTGTGTCCACTTTGCATTTGGTGGAGTGTGGACAAAAATGAGTAAAGCAAAGATGAGCAGAGAACATGATGTCTAATTGACAAGGCAGATATTTTATTGACAGATGATTCTGTTCAGGAGGAAGATGGATTGGGGTTTGTTAGGGAGATTTGTTCAGGGTCGTGTGGTTCCAACCCAGGGAGTTGTGGAGTGAGGGATCTAGGAACACTCTGAGGGGACCACTGTCTTGTCCACAGTGGTGCCATCGTGTGTCACGTGGCAGCTGAACTGGCTGGCAGATTTCCACTTGCTGGCTGACACGCTCAGGTAGCTGCTGGCCGCATACTTGTTGTTGCTCTGTTTGGAGGGCTTGGTGGTCTCCACACCCTGGGACACAGGGCTGCCATTCTCCTTCCAGGCCACTGTCACGGCTCCAGGGTAGAAGTCACTGACCAGACACACCAGTGTGGCTTTGTTGTTGCTGAGCTCCTCAGAGGAGGGTGGGAACAGAGTGACTGAGGGTGCGGACTTGGGCTGACCTGTGGGGTGGGGGTGGAGGGGAGCAGGAGGTCAGGTGTCTAGTTCAGAGGTCACTCTGGGTCTGAGGGTCCTTGTAATAATCAGCAGTTTCCTGTGTTCTTAACACAAGTTCCCTCTCTCCTGAGAAACCCAGAGCCTGGACACCTGCCTTCACCAGTCTTTTGGACCCTTATCTGTCATACAGACATGTGATTAACACCCCCTTGGTTGTGCCTATTCCTCAAAGCAGGGTCTGTCTGTTCTTCTGTTTGTCCCCAGAGAAGAAGATATGAGTTCTCTGAGCTCCTCTGGGGTTAGTCTCTGTACATTTCTGACCTGACCCTTCTATGCTGGGCCCTTAGGGTCTTTGTTCAAAGGGCCTCGTTTTCCTCTGAAATCTCTCCTGTGTCTTGTCTGAAATAGCAGGTCTTAGGTAGTCAAAGAGAAGCCTCTCTGTCTGACCTTGGTCTCTGTCCTTGTACATTTTTTACACCCCCTGCACACTCAGCCCACTGGTCATATAGCTAGAGTCTTCATGCTGTAGAGTGTGCTCTTCTTAGTGTGAAGTTTGTCCTGCAGAGACCCAGGGACCCCTCTTGTCATCATCCCCTGTCATTGCATGACCCTTCCTCCAGCCCCTTCTCCTCCCCACTGTGTTCTCTCTCCTGTAGGGTTCTCCCATTCCAGTTGGTAAAGGACACTGCATGACAGCTCTGTGCAGCCCCCCTCAGGCTGCATATTTCCTGTCCTGTGATCATAACCACACACCCCTGAATTCTTCACTTAACTCTACACCTGTGTTTCGCTAGCCATCACCCGGAGGGTTCTTGTTCCTTCAAAAGTCTGCACATTGTCACCCCTCAATACTACTTACTCATTCTCCCCCAAAGATGGGACCATTAGTGTCCCCTAGAAATACATCTAGAACACCGGGACTAGAAGGAAAACACAGAATGGAGCCGGTCATGAACCCAGCCTGACCCTGGCAGACCCACATGAGAGCCTACAAGTCACTCTGTCCATTCATCAGTCTGTGAGGTCAGAGCTGAAGGTCTGATAGTGACCATTGGAGGCAAGGAAGACATTAAGAAGAGGGACAGAGGGAGCTCAGGGTCCCCATGGTTGAGATGCTGTTTGACAGCTTTGCTATAGGATGTGACATGACCTAGAAAAGGTTGAAAACAGCAGAAAATTTCCAAGCTGCTGGGAGAAGCATGGAAGGAGAGGGAAGGAGAGACTCACCTAGGATGGTCAGATGGGTCCCTCCGCCGAACACACGACACTGTGACACAGGCTCATACAAAAACCTCTGTGGGAAGCCCTGCCCCACCCTTGAGCCCCCCACTTGCAGCTGTGATGCAAGAAGACTGAGCCTCTGTCCCAGGCTTCTGTCTGCTCTGTATAGGTCCCTGAAACCCCCACCCCACTCCCAGCTGCAACATGTAACTGGACCAGTATCTCCTTGTACTCATGGGTGGGCTGCCAGGAAAGCCAAACTCCAGAATGTAGGTGTTGTCTGGGATCCCTTGTCTCCATGATCTTCACCAGGAATGAAGATCAATTTCTTAGGAGACATTTGTGTCAGTAAGGAGTCAAGTTCCAGGTGAATGAGCAGAAGGTCTCTTCTTCCAGGGGTTTGGAGAATCCACAACTGCACCAGGGAAACCATGACCCTAGGGAGCAGTAGCCGTAGGAATGTACCAGTGGCCCTCAGCTGCACCCTGAGGTCTCAGCCTCATCTTCCCTGGGGACACATGAGTATGGGAATGCCCTGAGAAATCCTTCAACTTGTACTGTGAGCAGTGCCAGCCCATCCTCCATGAGGAACTCTGGAGACTCCCCTTTTCTTCCACAGTTGGTTTTTATAGGATGAGGGTCTGGTGGTCCTGAATCCTGCATTCATGTTCAGGGCACCCTTTCAGTGTGGATTCCAGCCTTGTGTTTGGAAAGGAACAGGGAGTAAGGATCATGTTGTCATCCATATGCAGGATTCATGGAGGTTCTCAGGTCGTGTCAGGGTCTGTAGGAGCCTCCTGCAGAGACTCTAGCAGAGAAGTTCCATCATTGCAACTACACTGGGGTGGACACTAGAGGATAATTGCCTTGTACTTGCATAGCAGATACAGATGCAATGTGTTGTTTGTCATTGTTTTATGTGTTAATTATCCCCTTGGTTGGGCTGCATTGTCTCTGCCTCCATTTATGAAGTGGAGAATGGAGAAAAAATCACCACTTTCTATTTCTCACTAGAGACACACACACTCTGAGGTGAAGGAAGAGCTGGTGAAGGCCCCTGGGGTTGGGCCTAGTGGATGTGGGGCCCTGAGCTCCAGGGCGGTGCTGTTTCCCGGGTCAGGTGGGGCTGACCTGGCTGTAGCCCACAGGACCCCTGCCCTGATGTTCTTATGACCTTCCCATGCTCTACTCCAGAACTCCAGGGGTCAGACCTCCCTGGGACAGGACATGGTGCTCCCTCTGCACCCAGGAAGGTGCCCTTCCTCATCTCTTGTCCCGCCCTAATGACGGCAGACACACCTGCTCCCTCTGGGAACCAGCCTTGTGTTTGCTGCAGGACAGTCAGTGTCTGACTGAGCTACGGTCCTGTGAGGGACTTTGAGACACAAACTTATGGGACACGTTCCTCCAGGTTTCTGTGTCTCTGTGGTGACAGAAAGAAGACAAAAGTCCTCACCTTGTAAAGGTTTTCCCCAGTGGGCTTCATGAGGGATCAGGGAAATTAAACAACTATTCCTGTAAGAACAAGTGTTGGCTCAAGGGTCTTCTTCTTTCAAACTCCTGCCATTGACCTTCCTGGGACCTCTTCATTTCCCCCCTGACCCTGAAACATGCCCAGAAGCCTGTTACTCAGCCCTTTTCCCTTTTCTGGTGACAAAGGTCCCTGGGGACAGCCTACCAGGACAAGTAGATATTTTGGGTCATGAATTCACCCAGTACTGAGATCACAGCTGGCTCCCGGGGAAGGGGTGGGTGAGAAGCCAGGGACACAGGATTTCATGCTGGAATGACTCCTGAGTCTGGGTGAGTAACACTTCATCCCAGAGGTGTCATCAGTTGCTGAACAGGCATACAGTCACACAATGATAAATGACCAGGGTTTTATTGAGAAAATGTGGAAATGGGGAGATAGTGAGGCCAGTCCAGTCTGGAAAGAACTGGGCTAGAGTCCCAGGGGTACAGTGGAGAACTGGAGAATGGGGTTTGTGGGTGAGCAGAGTCCCAGAATATGGGGGCTCAGTGTCCTAGGAACACTCCGAGGGGACCACTGTCTTGTCCACAGTGGTGCCATCGTGCGTCACGTGGCAGCTGAACTGGCTGGCAGACTTCCACTTGCTGGCTGACATGCTCAGGTAGCTGCTGGCCGCATACTTGTTGTTGCTCTGTTTGGAGGGCTTGGTGGTCTCCACACCCTGGGACACAGGGCTGCCATTCTCCTTCCAGGCCACTGTCACGGCTCCAGGGTAGAAGTCACTGGCCAGACACACCAGTGTGGCCTTGTTGTTGCTGAGCTCCTCAGAGGAGGGTGGAAAAAGAGTGACTGAGGGTGCAGACTTGGGCTGACCTGTGGGGTGGGGGGAGGGGGAGGAGGTCAGAGGCTCAGCATTCATCCTGAGAGCTCCTGATCTCCATCTTGTTGTGGGGTGCACAGTCCCCAGGATTCAATCTGCTCCCTAATTTCAGGACTACTCTGGTTTGAGGTCTGTGGCAGAGAGACCATATTGGGTGTCTGCTCTTACAACTTCCCTCCTTCCTAGGGTAACAGGAGGCTGGACATCTGCCATCAATGTCCTCAGGCCCTCCTAGGCACTGGCCATTCAAACAGACATCTGACCTGCATCTTCCTGCTCTGGTTCCTCCTGACATTCTAATGGAGTCTTTGTGTGGGGAGTCTGCCCTTCATCAGAGAAGATGATGTACACTCTGACCTTCAACTGGGACAATCCTTAAGCATTTGTCACCCTTCTCATCTGCTTAGGCCTTTGTCCTAAAAGGTCTTTTTCTACTCAAGTCTACCTCTCCCGATCCTTTCTAATGGGGTGGGGTAGTCACAGAGGAGGGAGATTCTGTCTGCCTGTCCTTAGGTCTCTCCCATCTGCAGAGTTGATTGGAGGCTCACCTGTGGTAGTTGATTGTCCTAAGATCTAACACTGAGGTATGTGCAATCTTTTTTGTCAAGGATCTGTACTTCTGAGGAGCATATCCCTTGAAATCCTTGAGGCCACTCTCCTACTGTCTCCTGTCCTCCATTCTCCTTATCCCACTCTTAGCATCCAGAGCATTAAAATCCCCACTCTGCAGTCCCCCTCCCCTGCTGCCTGGTTCTCTGGGTCCCACACTGGCTGAGGATTGTGCATAGCAGGTCCATGGAGCCTCTCCTCCCCTGCACCATTGCCAGCCCTGAATCCTCAGTCCCCCAGCCCTGAAGAGCTTCTCTGAATACTGACCCGTCTGTCCCTGGACTCAGCTCAGAGCATTTGGAGTCACCTCCCAGTGTATAGTCTCCCTTTGCACATTAAATGGGTGCCCAAATGACCCCCAGATTCAGGCTGCTCCCACAGGAGCCCATAGGACAAGACAGAACAGAGCAGGTCCAGAACCCAGCCTGACCCTGGCAGACAGATAGAAGAGTCTACAGGTCATCTCATTCCTTCCTCTGCCTGTGGGGTCAGAGGTGAAGGCTGATGAGACCAGTGGAGGCAGACAGGACAGACAGAACAGAGATGGAAAAGGTCACAACCTGAGAATGGGGTCTGGACTGAAAGCTTGGGTAGAGGGCAAGAAAAAGGGGAGTGAAAAGAGGAGAAAATTGCCCAAACCTCTGAGAGAGCATGGAAGGAAGGGTGAAGAAGAGACTCACCTAGGACGGTCACCTGGGTCCCACTGCCGAACACGAAACACTGTGACACAGCCTCATACAAAAACCTCTCCCTTGGAGGCCCTGCCCCACCCCTAAGCCCCCCACCTGCAGCTGTAGTGGAAGAAGCTGGGGTCACTGTTGCAGGCACATGCCTGCTGTGTAAGCAATGTATTAGCCTCCCCCCAACACCCATCTCCTCCATGTAACAGGAGAGATGAATGCTTGTGCTCAATAGAAGGAGTCTGAAAATCCAGGCTCCTGAATGTAGTTCTCATGCATTCCGTTTGCCATGAACTTCTTTAGGAGTGGGAATGGATTTATTGGAAGGCATTTATGCCACTGGGAGTAAAGCTCCATAACAATGGAGAGAAGGTCTTTCCTTTCAGGGTTGAAAGAACATGATCCCCTGGGTGCACTCAGGGAAGGGTGACTCTCACACACCTCAAGGATAAGAGAGGGCCCCAGAGAGCAGTAGCCATAGGAATGTACCAGTGGACCCTAGCTGCACCCTGGGGTCTCAGCCTCATCTTACCAGGGACATGTCAGTTTGGGATTGCCCTGCAGGATTCTTTAACTTGTACTGTGAGCAGAGCCAGCCTGTCCTCCATGAGGAACTAGGAGACTCCCCTTTTCCTTCCACAATCCGGTTTTATGGGATGAGGGTCTTGTGGTCCTGAATCCTGCATTCATGTTCAGGGCACCCTTTCAGGATGGATTCTAGCCCTGTGTTTGGAAAGGCACAGGGAGTAAGGATCATGTTGTCATCCATATGCAGGATTCATGGAGGTTCTCAGGTCGTGTCAGGGTCTGTAGGAGCCTCCTGCAGGGACTCTAGCAGAGAAGTTCCATCATTGCAACCACATTGGGGTGGACACTAGAGGATAATTGCCTTGTAGTTGCATAGCAGATAAAGATGCAATGTGTCATTTGTCATTGATTTATATGTTAATTATCCCCTTAGTAGGGTTGCATTGTCTCTGCCTCCATTTGTGAGATGGGGAATGGAGAAAATAATCACCACTTTCTATTTCTTACTAGAGAACAAACACACTCTGATGTGTGAAGGAAGAGCTGTTGACGGCCCCTGGGGGTTAGGTCTAGTGGGTGTGGGGCCCTGAGATTCAGGGCAGTGCTGTTTCCCGGGGAGGATGGGTCTGACCTGGCTGTAGCCCACGGGACTCCTGCCCTGAATTCTTCTGACCTTCTCACGCTCTACTCCAGAACTCCAGGGCCAAACCTCCGTGGGACAGAACATGGTGCTCCCTCTGCACCTAGGAAGGTGCCCTTCTTCATTTCGTGTCCTGCCCTCATGACAGTGGACACCACCTGCTCCCTCCGGGACCCCGCTGTGTGTTTGCTGCAGGACAGTCAGTGTCTGACTGAGCTGCGGTCCCTTGAGAGACTTTGAGACACATGCTTAAGGGACACATTACTCCCGATTTCTGTGGCTTTGTGGTGACAAAGATCCTGACCTTGTAATGGTTCACCCCAGTGGGTTTCATGAGGGAACAGGGAAGTTTAACAGCTGTTCCTATAAGAACAAAGCTTGGCTCAAGGGGCTACTTCTTTCAGATTTCTTCCATTGACCACCCCCATGACTTCTTCATTTCCCCCTGACCCTGAAACGTGCCCAGGAGCCTCTCACTCAGCCCTTTTCCCTTCCCTGGTGACAAAAGTCCCTGCGGCGAGCCTACCAGGACAATACATCTTTTGAACCATGGCTTCCCCCAGTACTGAGATCACAGCTGGTTCCTGGGGAAGGGGTGGGTGAGAAGCCAGGGACACAGGATTTCATGCTGAAATGACCCCTAAGTCAGGGTCAGTAACACTTCATCCCAGAGACGTCATCAGTTGCTGAACAGGCATACAGTCACACAATGATAAATGACCAGGGTTTTATTGAGAAAAAGTGGAAATGGGGAGGCTTTGAAACCAGCCCAGTCTGAGCAGACAGGGGTGGCAGTCCCAGGGGTACAGTGGAGAGGTGGCAAATGGGAGATCTGAGTAAGCAGAGACCCAGAATGTGAGGGCTCAGAGTCCTAGGAACACTCCGAGGGGACCACTGTCTTGTCCACAGTGGTGCCATCGTGTGTCACGTGGCAGCTGAACTGGCTGGCAGATTTCCACTTGCTGGCTGACATGCTCAGGTAGCTGCTGGCCGCATACTTGTTGTTGCTCTGTTTGGAGGGCTTGGTGGTCTCCACACCCTGGGACACAGGGCTGCCATTCTCCTTCCAGGCCACTGTCACGGCTCCAGGGTAGAAGTCACTGACCAGACACACCAGTGTGGCCTTGTTGGTGCTGAGCTCCTCAGAGGAGGGTGGGAACAGAGTGACTGAGGGTGCAGACTTGGGCTGACCTGTGGGGTGGGGGAGGGGCGGGAGGTCAGGTGTCTAGTTCAGAGGCCACTCTGGGTCTGAGGGTCCTTGCCATGCACAGCAGTTTGTTGTTGTCTTAACACAATTCTCCACTTTCCTGAGAAACCTGGAGCCTTGACACCTGCCTTCACCTGTTCGTGGTATCATCCTCTGCCCCACTGACATCCGACTGGCACCCTCTTGGCTGTGCTTATTCCTGATAAGAGCATCTGTCTGTCCTTCTGTTTGTCCCCAGAGGAGAAGATAGGAGCTCTCTGAGCTCCTCTGGGGCCAGTCTCTGTACATTCTGACCCGAGAAACCTCTGCTGGGCTCCTGGGGTCTTTGTTGAAAGGAGCCACATTTTCTCCAAAAGCTCTCTATCCTGGACCTTCTTTGTCATAGTAGCATTTTGTCTAGTCCAAGAGATGTCTTTCTGTCTGTCCTCAGTCTCTGTCCTTGTACAGTTGTCTCACCCCCTGCACACTCAGTACACTGGTCACACAGCTAGAGCCTTCATGCTGTAGATGGTGCCTTTCTTTAGTGAAGTTTGTCCTGCAGAGACTGAGGGACCCACCTTGTCCTCATCCCCTGTCATTGCCTGACCCTTCCTACAGCACCTTGTCCTCCCCACTGTGCTCTTTCTCCTGCAGGGCTCTCCTGTCCCAGCTGGTAAAGGACACTACATGACAGCTCTGTGGTGGCACCCGGAGTCCCACATATTTCCCTGCTTATGATAATAACCCCACACTCCTGAGGTCCTTCCCTTAACTTTACACCTGTGTGTCTCTAGCCATGACCCTGAGGGGTCTTGTCCCTTCAAAAGTGTGCACATTGTCATCCCCTCAATACTACTTACCCATTCCCTCCCCAAAGATAGAACCATTAGTAACCCCTAAAAATAAATCTAGAACACTGGGACTGGAAGGGAACACAGAATGGAGCCGGTCATGAACCCAGCCTGATCCTGGCAGACCCACATGAGAGCCTACAAGTCACTCTGTCCATTCATCAGTCTGTGAGGTCAGACCTGAAGGTCGGCTAGTGACCAATGGAGCAAGGAAGACATTAAGAAGAGGGACAGAGGGAGCTCAGGGTCCCCATGGTTGGGATGCTGTGTGAAAGCTTTGCTACAGGATATGACATGACTCAGAAAAAGTTGAAAACAGCAGAAAATTTCCAAGCTGCTGGGAGAAGCAAGGAAGGAGGGGGAAGGACAGACTCACCTAGGACGGTCAGATGGGTCCCTCCGCCGAACACACCACACTGTGACACAGGCTCATACAAAAACCTCTGTGGGAGGCCCTGCCCCTCCCTTGAGCACCCCCAATTGCAGCTGTGATGCAAGAAGACTGAGCCTCTGTCCCAGGCTTCTGTCTGCTCTGTATAGGTCCCTGAAACCCCTACCCCACTCCCAGCTGCAACGTGTAACTGGACCAGTATCTCCTTGTACTCATGGTGGCGAGGAAATCCAAACTCCAGAATGTAGGTGTTGTCTGGGATCCCTTGTCTCCATGATCTTCACCAGGAATGAAGATCAATTTCTTAGGAGACATTTGTGTCAGTAAGGAGTCAAGTTCCAGGTGAATGAGCAGAAGGTCTCTTCTTCCAGGGGTTTGGAGAATCCACAACTGCACCAGGGAAACCATGACCCTAGGGAGCAGTAGCCATAGGAATGTACCAGTGGCCCCCAGCTGCACCCTGAGGTCTCAGCCTCATCTTCCCTGGGGACACATGAGTATGGGAATGCCCCGAGAAATCCTTCAACTTGTACTGTGAGCAGTGCCAGTCCATCTTCCATGAGGATCTGTGGAGACTCCCCCTTTTTCTTCCACAGTTGGTTTTTATAGGATGAGGGTCTGGTGGTCCTGAATCCTGCATTCATGTTCAGGGCGCCCTTTTGGGGTGGATTCCGGCCCTGGGTTTGGAAAGGTACAGGGAGCAAGGATTATGTTGTCGTGTATATGCAGGAGCCATGGATGTTCCCAGGTCATGCCAGGTCCCCAGGAGTCCCCAGCAGGGGCTCTAGCAGAGAAATTCCGTCATTGCCACAACACTGGCATGGACACTAGAGGATAATTGCCTTGTACTTGCAAAGCAGATACTGACACAGTGTTTCATTTGTTATTGTTTTATATGTTAATTGTCCCCTTAGTAGGGGTGAAGGGAACCTTTTTTTATTTTGTGGAGTAGAAAATAAAAGAAGAATCTTCACTTTCTAGTTTCACTAGAGAACACACACTCTTGTGTGAAGGAAGAGCACTGAATGCTCCCTAGTGATAAGTCAGACTGGGAGTGGTGTCCTGAGAACAAAGGAATTGCGGTGTCACCAGGGGGGCAGAAGGGTGAGGCCTGAGCCTGCTGTGTCCCAGAGTACACAGGGCCCCTGACCTGAAGACGTTAGAATCTTCTTCCTACTGCTCTCAAATTTCAGGTGACATGCCCTCCCTGGGACAAGACATGGTGCTCCCTCTGCACCCAGGAAGGTGCCCTTCCTCATCTCTTGTCCTGCCCTCCTGATGGCAAACACCACTGGCTCCCCTCTGGGAACCAGCCTTGTGTTTGCTGCAGGACAGTCAGTGTGTGACTGAGCTATGGTCGCTTGAGGGACTTTGAGACACATGCTTAACAAACATGTTGCTCCAGATTTCTGTGGCTCTGTGGTGACAGGCAGAAGACAAAAGTCCTCCTTGTAATGGTTTACCCAAGTGGTTTTCATGAGAAAACAGGGAAGTTAAACAGCTATTTGTGTAAGAACAAGGCTTAGCTCAAGGCTCTTATTCTCCTATGTTTCTGCCATTGACCCTCCTGAGACCTCCTTATTTACCCCTGACCCTGAATGTGCCCAGAAGCATCTCACTCAGCCCTTTTCTCTTCCCTCGTGACAAAGGTCCCTGAGGCCATCCTAGCAGAATAAGTACATATTTTGAGTGATGGCTTCCCCCTAGTACTGAGATCATAGCTCTTGGGTAGAAGGAGTGGGTGAGAAGCCAGGGACACAGGATTTCATGCTGGAATGACCCCTGAGTCTGGGTCATTAACACTTCATTCCAGAGATGTCATCAATTGCTGAACAGGCATACAGTCACACAATGATAAATGACCAGGGTTTTATTGAGAAAAAGTGGAAATGGGGAGGCTTTGAAACCAGCCCAGTCTGAGCAGACAGGGGTGGCAGTCCCAGGGGTACAGTGGAGAGGTGGCAAATGGGAGATCTGAGTAAGCAGAGACCCAGAATGTGAGGGCTCAGAGTCCTAGGAACACTCCGAGGGGACCACTGTCTTGTCCACAGTGGTGCCATCATGCGTCACGTGGCAGCTGAACTGGCTGGCAGACTTCCACTTGCTGGCTGACATGCTCAGGTAGCTGCTGGCCGCATACTTGTTGTTGCTCTGTTTGGAGGGCTTGGTCGTCTCCACACCCTGGGACACAGGGCTGCCATTCTCCTTCCAGGCCACTGTCACGGCTCCAGGGTAGAAGTCACTGACCAGACATACCAGTGTGGCCTTGTTGTTGCCGAGCTCCTCAGAGGAGGGTGGGAACAGAGTGACTGAAGGTGCAGACTTTTGCTGACCTGTGGGGTTGGAGAGGGGGAGGAGGTCATGGTGTCAGGATTTATCCTGGGGGTTCTTGACCTCAGTCTAGATGCCAGTAGCATACAGCCATTTTTAGGGCATGCACCCCAATTTCATCTTGAGTCCCCTTTATCTAGTCAGTGACAGGAGGGGAGAGTTCCTGTAGGGAAAATGTCAAAACCTGACTCTTGAGAGTGCTGGTACCATTTTGCACATCATTGGTCCTCAGGTCCACTGTCCTCATTACCTGTCATCCTACCCTGTGCTCCCCTGGTCCTGACTGTTTATCTTGAGAGCTCATCTGTCCTTAGAGAATGAGTACATCTATCCTTCGCATAACTTGAAACCAATTCCTGCGCCCAGTGTCTTCACAAGAGGGCCTGTGTCTGTCCTGGCTTCAGGCTGTCCTTCATTTGAGGGATGGCATATGTTGCTCACGGTCCCCAGAGCCCATAGCTGCAAGGAGGGCTACAGAAGTGAGGAGTGATGGGTGTTATCACTGTGGGCTCACTTTTATGGGGTTACCTGGGTTTCCATGGAACATGGCTGTTGAGTTCTTAGCCTGAGCCTGGGACTGTTCTGACTAGGACTTCCCGTTCTGGAAGCTTTACTGGGGAATCTGGCTGTCGTAGAACATCTATCTGCTAGGCCAGCTCTGCCCTTGTCACTTCTCCCAGGAGGTGTCCCCAGCCTGTGTTCTGGGCACTTGTTCTAGGCTTTGTCTCCCAGTGGAAATAGGGGTTGGGCAGTCATTGGGGCCTGTCTGATTGTCCCCCCACCTATTCTGTTTGGAGCTCCCACCACCTGTTCTGTCAGGGGGTCCTGCCACTTGTTCTGTCTGGGGGTTCAGCCTGTCTGGGGGAGAAAGAAAGATCCAGAACTCGAGGCTGTCTCACGGGAAATCTCCCTTCCACTCTGTCTGCCCTGTGTCTATTCCTCCTCCTCTTCCTCCTCCTCCTCTTCCTCCTCCTTCTCCTTTCTGGGTCTCAGTGAGGAGCTCCTCTTATAGCCCCTCTCTAACTTCCACTTACCCAGAAGAGGCAGAACCCAAAAGTGACACACACATGTACCATTCAGGGGACCCCAGCTTTGTACCCACATCCCATAACCCTGGATGACCATGGAGAGGCCCCTTCTCTCATGGCCCTTCAGTCCCTTAATTCTCCTAAGACCTCAGGCTGTGAGATCTGAGGGACCAGTCTCCTGGAGATGAAGAGGCAATGTCCCCTTGAGACAGATGTCTGGGCCACAGTGCAAAGTGGCAGAAAACAGAGCCTGGGTTACTCCGGTGTTGTCCCCAGCAGGTGCCTCAGGAGTTAAGAATTAGAGGGCTAAGACAGACAGCCAAAGGTGGGAGTTCCAGTATGCCAGAGAGATTCCAACCCCATCTCAACCCCATAAATGAGAAAAGGAGACAAATCAAGCCCAGCTTCACTCTGGACCCCAAGCAGGAGTGAAAAGGGAGACTCACCTAGGACGGTCAGAAAGGTCCCTCCGCCGAACACATAACACAGTGACACAGCCTTGAACACAAACCTCCTGTCACCCCCTCCAGCCCCTGCCCAGGCCCACCTGCAGCTGCACGGGAGGCCCAAAGTCCAGCCTCCTTGTCACGCATGCTGATCGGGCAGAGGGGGGCTGGTGGGGGCAGTGAGAAGGGTGGCCCTGTGGATAGAATTTCCATTCTCTGGAGCTGTGGGGCTCCATGAGTTCTAGGCTATCATGATGTGGCGCGGCAGAGAATGTGCTAGTGCTGAGTCAGGATTTCCACCTGCCTCCATCTTTGGGAAGGAGCCGTGTTCTGGCCAAGCCCCTGGCACACTGTCACTGTGGAATTGTTTATACAGAGTGGCAATGGGTCTGGGAGCCCTGAGGAGAGCTGGGAATTGTGGGGAGGTCCTGGATGCCATCACATCCCCAGCACACGAGGTCAAGTCGGGTCAGGGTTGGGGATGGAAGTGTGTGTATGGTAGTATCACATTCACCCCAGTACCTAGACCAGTCTGCAGAGACCCACGTTGTGGTGTCCCTGCCCTCAGCTGAGCCAGCCTCATTGGGAGAGTCACTGAGCCCCTCCTGAGCAGTGTGGGCAGCTTCAATCTGTGTGAGTCCATGGGCTGAATTAGAGGTGCAATGGCCCCTTCAGGACCCTGCACGGTCAGCCCGGTGGTCACTTCTGCCAGCACAGTGTTTCCTGTGAGCACTCAGTGTGTGAGTTCCTGAGCCCCCCTTACACCCCCCGAGTGACAGATGTCCGAGTTCACCAAAGTCAGTAGCACAGGGTGCAGCACCAGCCTTCCCAAGACATTGCAGCCCTGGGCTGAACGTGCCTGTTGTGAGTGGGAACCTGACACCCAGGGGCTCAGTCCTCATTCTTGTCCTGTACATCATCTGCAGGGCTCACTCAAGGGACACACAGGCCTGGGGTCCTTCTCTGACTGCATCAGGGCCGCTGAACACTCTTCCTTCCTTTGCCGGCCCACTGTTGAAGGCTGTACTCCCTCCTGGAAACTCCCTCAGGTTTCAGTCTCACTCTCAATCTGGACCAGCGTGTCCCTGCCCTTTGTCTGGTCACTGATGATCTCTGGAGCCGGGACTGCAGTGAGCTGCCTCTCTTTGTTCGTGTGAACCTGGGGTCCCGACTGAACACCTTCCTGATCTTCTGCAGGGCTTCTCAGAGCGATGCCCTTTAAGGGCATCTTTGTAAATGGATGTGTGTCTTAATGAACATCATGTGTGTGAGTGTGTGTATGTGCACCTACACATGTGTGTGTTACTGTTCTGATTTTACCCATAGAAGGTGAACTGATTATTGAAGAGTCAATGGCCTGTTCTTAGAATTTGATTCTTGACTTTGATAGAGGAGCAGGCAGGTCACTGAGAACACTGGACATTAGACCTTGGTGTGGGATGAGTGGGGGCTGGCCTGGAAAGGGATGAAGAGAGCACAAATGTCCTGCCAGCTCACATAGAGCGGGGACCCTGGTGATACCTGTGAGAGGTGAGGGTCACTGTAGAGAGTGTGAGAATGAGCGACCAGGTTCCAGAGACTGAGGGTCTTGTGGTAAGAGTGTCAGTGAGGGAGCAGTAACTGAAGCACAGAGCATATCCTCCCTGGGAGAGCAGGAGTAGTGGTGGTGGGGTCTATAAACAAGAAGGCAGTTCCTAGCCTGTGAGGATGAGAAGCTTCCAGATGGGGTGGGGGCCATGCAAGGCTTGTGAATAAGAAGAATGAGGATTTCCTGGAAGAGCACTCAGGAATGACCCTGCTGTCCATGGGGACACAGCCTTGGGATTGGACATGGTCCACAGAAGAAAAGCAGTAGTAAGGAAATTTCAAAGGGAGGGCTCTCCTAGGTCATATGCCCTTTCCTCCTTTCTGGAACATTCTACGGGACCTGTAGGTTAATAGTGAAACTGCCACTTAAGGAAACTTGGAGGCTATTTTCCTGAACATGGTCTACAGGGCCAGAGGGTTGTGTCCACTTTGCATTTGGTGGAGTGTGGACAAAAATGAGTAAAGCAAAGATGAGCAGAGAACATGATGTCTAATTGACAAGGCAGATATTTTATTGACAGATGATTCTGTTCAGGAGGAAGATGGATTGGGGTTTGTTAGGGAGATTTGTTCAGGGTCGTGTGGTTCCAACCCAGGGAGTTGTGGAGTGAGGGATCTAGGAACACTCTGAGGGGACCACTGTCTTGTCCACAGTGGTGCCATCGTGTGTCACGTGGCAGCTGAACTGGCTGGCAGATTTCCACTTGCTGGCTGACACGCTCAGGTAGCTGCTGGCCGCATACTTGTTGTTGCTCTGTTTGGAGGGCTTGGTGGTCTCCACACCCTGGGACACAGGGCTGCCATTCTCCTTCCAGGCCACTGTCACGGCTCCAGGGTAGAAGTCACTGACCAGACACACCAGTGTGGCTTTGTTGTTGCTGAGCTCCTCAGAGGAGGGTGGGAACAGAGTGACTGAGGGTGCGGACTTGGGCTGACCTGTGGGGTGGGGGTGGAGGGGGAGCAGGAGGTCAGGTGTCTAGTTCAGAGGTCACTCTGGGTCTGAGGGTCCTTGTAATAATCAGCAGTTTCCTGTGTTCTTAACACAAGTTCCCTCTCTCCTGAGAAACCCAGAGCCTGGACACCTGCCTTCACCAGTCTTTTGGACCCTTATCTGTCATACAGACATGTGATTAACACCCCCCTTGGTTGTGCCTATTCCTCAAAGCAGGGTCTGTCTGTTCTTCTGTTTGTCCCCAGAGAAGAAGATATGAGTTCTCTGAGCTCCTCTGGGGTTAGTCTCTGTACATTTCTGACCTGACCCTTCTATGCTGGGCCCTTAGGGTCTTTGTTCAAAGGGCCTCGTTTTCCTCTGAAATCTCTCCTGTGTCTTGTCTGAAATAGCAGGTCTTAGGTAGTCAAAGAGAAGCCTCTCTGTCTGACCTTGGTCTCTGTCCTTGTACATTTTTTACACCCCCTGCACACTCAGCCCACTGGTCATATAGCTAGAGTCTTCATGCTGTAGAGTGTGCTCTTCTTAGTGTGAAGTTTGTCCTGCAGAGACCCAGGGACCCCTCTTGTCATCATCCCCTGTCATTGCATGACCCTTCCTCCAGCCCCTTCTCCTCCCCACTGTGTTCTCTCTCCTGTAGGGTTCTCCCATTCCAGTTGGTAAAGGACACTGCATGACAGCTCTGTGCAGCCCCCCTCAGGCTGCATATTTCCTGTCCTGTGATCATAAACACACACCCCTGAATTCTTCACTTAACTCTACACCTGTGTTTCGCTAGCCATCACCCGGAGGGTTCTTGTTCCTTCAAAAGTCTGCACATTGTCACCCCTCAATACTACTTACTCATTCTTCCCCCAAAGATGGGACCATTAGTGTCCCCTAGAAATACATCTAGAACACCGGGACTAGAAGGAAAACACAGAATGGAGCCGGTCATGAACCCAGCCTGACCCTGGCAGACCCACATGAGAGCCTACAAGTCACTCTGTCCATTCATCAGTCTGTGAGGTCAGAGCTGAAGGTCTGATAGTGACCATTGGAGGCAAGGAAGACATTGAGAAGAGGGACAGAGGGAGCTCAGGGTCCCCATGGTTGAGATGCTGTTTGACAGCTTTGCTATAGGATGTGACATGACCTAGAAAAGGTTGAAAACAGCAGAAAATTTCCAAGCTGCTGGGAGAAGCATGGAAGGAGAGGGAAGGAGAGACTCACCTAGGACGGTCAGATGGGTCCCTCCGCCGAACACACGACACTGTGACACAGGCTCATACAAAAACCTCTGTGGGAAGCCCTGCCCCACCCTTGAGCCCCCCACTTGCAGCTGTGATGCAAGAAGACTGAGCCTCTGTCCCAGGCTTCTGTCTGCTCTGTATAGGTCCCTGAAACCCCCACCCCACTCCCAGCTGCAACGTGTAACTGGACCAGTATCTCCTTGTACTCATGGTGGGCTGCCAGGAAAGCCAAACTCCAGAATGTAGGTGTTGTCTGGGATCCCTTGTCTCCATGATCTTCACCAGGAATGAAGATCAATTTCTTAGGAGACATTTGTGTCAGTAAGGAGTCAAGTTCCAGGTGAATGAGCAGAAGGTCTCTTCTTCCAGGGGTTTGGAGAATCCACAACTGCACCAGGGAAACCATGACGCTAGGGAGCAGTAGCCGTAGGAATGTACCAGTGGCCCTCAGCTGCACCCTGAGGTCTCAGCCTCATCTTCCCTGGGGACACATGAGTATGGGAATGCCCTGAGAAATCCTTCAACTTGTACTGTGAGCAGTGCCAGCCCATCCTCCATGAGGAACTCTGGAGACTCCCCTTTTCTTCCACAGTTGGTTTTTATAGGATGAGGGTCTGGTGGTCCTGAATCCTGCATTCATGTTCAGGGCACCCTTTCAGGGTGGATTCCAGCCTTGTGTTTGGAAAGGAACAGGGAGTAAGGATCATGTTGTCATCCATATGCAGGATTCATGGAGGTTCTCAGGTCGTGTCAGGGTCTGTAGGAGCCTCCTGCAGAGACTCTAGCAGAGAAGTTCCATCATTGCAACTACACTGGGGTGGACACTAGAGGATAATTGCCTTGTACTTGCATAGCAGATACAGATGCAATGTGTTGTTTGTCATTGTTTTATGTGTTAATTATCCCCTTGGTTGGGCTGCACTTGTCTCTGCCTCCATTTATGAAGTGGAGAATGGAGAAAAAATCACCACTTTCTATTTCTCACTAGAGACACACACACTCTGAGGTGAAGGAAGAGCTGGTGAAGGCCCCTGGGGTTGGGCCTAGTGGATGTGGGGCCCTGAGCTCCAGGGCGGTGCTGTTTCCCGGGTCAGGTGGGGCTGACCTGGCTGTAGCCCACAGGACCCCTGCCCTGATGTTCTTATGACCTTCCCATGCTCTACTCCAGAACTCCAGGGGTCAGACCTCCCTGGGACAGGACATGGTGCTCCCTCTGCACCCAGGAAGGTGCCCCTTCCTCATCTCTTGTCCCGCCCTAATGACGGCAGACACACCTGCTCCCTCTGGGAACCAGCCTTGTGTTTGCTGCAGGACAGTCAGTGTCTGACTGAGCTACGGTCCTGTGAGGGACTTTGAGACACAAACTTATGGGACACGTTCCTCCAGGTTTCTGTGTCTCTGTGGTGACAGAAAGAAGACAAAAGTCCTCACCTTGTAAAGGTTTTCCCCAGTGGGCTTCATGAGGGATCAGGGAAATTAAACAACTATTCCTGTAAGAACAAGTGTTGGCTCAAGGGTCTTCTTCTTTCAAACTCCTGCCATTGACCTTCCTGGGACCTCTTCATTTCCCCCTGACCCTGAAACATGCCCAGAAGCCTGTTACTCAGCCCTTTTCCCTTTTCTGGTGACAAAGGTCCCTGGGGACAGCCTACCAGGACAAGTAGATATTTTGGGTCATGAATTCACCCAGTACTGAGATCACAGCTGGCTCCCGGGGAAGGGGTGGGTGAGAAGCCAGGGACACAGGATTTCATGCTGGAATGACTCCTGAGTCTGGGTGAGTAACACTTCATCCCAGAGGTGTCATCAGTTGCTGAACAGGCATACAGTCACACAATGATAAATGACCAGGGTTTTATTGAGAAAATGTGGAAATGGGGAGATAGTGAGGCCAGTCCAGTCTGGAAAGAACTGGGCTAGAGTCGCAGGGGTACAGTGGAGAACTGGAGAATGGGGTTTGTGGGTGAGCAGAGTCCCAGAATATGGGGGCTCAGTGTCCTAGGAACACTCTGAGGGGACCACTGTCTTGTCCACAGTGGTGCCATCGTGCGTCACGTGGCAGCTGAACTGGCTGGCAGACTTCCACTTGCTGGCTGACATGCTCAGGTAGCTGCTGGCCGCATACTTGTTGTTGCTCTGTTTGGAGGGCTTGGTGGTCTCCACACCCTGGGACACAGGGCTGCCATTCTCCTTCCAGGCCACTGTCACGGCTCCAGGGTAGAAGTCACTGGCCAGACACACCAGTGTGGCCTTGTTGTTGCTGAGTTCCTCAGAGGAGGGTGGGAACAGAGTGACTGAGGGTGCAGACTTGGGCTGACCTGTGGGGTGGGGATGGAGGGGAGCAGGAGGTCAGGTGTCTAGTTCAGAAGCCACTCTGGGTCTGAGGGTCCTTGTCATGCACAGCAGTTTTCTGTGTTCTTAACACAAGTTCCCTTTCTCCTGAGAAACCTGGATCCTGGGCACCTGCCTTTACTTGTCCCTTGGTCCTTCCTCTGCCCCACTGACACCAGACTGGCACCCTCTTGGCTGTGCTTATTCCTGATAACAAGGTCTGTCTGTCTTTTTGTTTGTACCCAGAGAGGAAGATAAGAGCTGTCTGAGCTCCTCTGGGGCCAGTCTCTGTACATTTTTTACCTGAGCCTTCTCCGCTGGGCTCTTAGGTTTTGTGTTGGAAGGAGCCCCATTTTCTCTGAAAGCTCTCTCTCCTGCACCTTCTCTGTCATAATAGCATCTTGTCTAGTCCAAGAGATGTCTTTCTGTCTGTCTTCAGTCTGTCCTTGTATATCTGTCTCACCCCCTGCACACTCAGCACACTGGTCACACAGCTAGAGCCTTCATGCTGTAGATCGTGCCTTTGTGTGAAGTTTGTCCTGCAGAGACTGAGGGACCCACCTTGTCCTCATCCCCTGTCATTGCCTGACCCTTCCTACAGCACCTTGTCCTCCCCACTGTGCTCTTTCTCCTGCAGGGCTCTCCTGTCCCAGCTGGTAAAGGACACTACATGGCAGCTCTGTGCTGGCACCCAGAGTCCCGCATATTTCCCTGCCTGTGATCATAACCCCACACTCCTGAGGTCCTTCCCTTAACTTTACACCTGTGTGTCTCTAGCCATGACCCTGAGGGTTCTTGTTTCTTGAAAAGTCTGCACATCATTACCCAACCAATACTACTTACCCATTCTCCCCTCAAAGATTGGACCCTAGTAACCCCTGAAAATAAATCTGGAATACTGGGACTCACAAGAAAACACCAGAACAGAGGCCGTCATGAATCAAGTGTGACCCAGACATACAGAGAGAAGTCTCCAAGTCACTCTGTCTAGCCGTCATGAATCAAGTGTGACCCAGACATACAGAGAGAAGTTTCCAAGTCACTCTATTTCTCTGTCCGCAGGGTCACATGTGAGTATCTGATAGTGACCATGGAGAGAAGCAAGACAGTGAGAAGGAGAGGAGGGGCACAGGGTGCCAAGGCTTGAGATCCTGGGTGAAAGGTTGGCTATAGGCTGAGACTTAACCCAGGAAAGGGGTAAAAACAGCAGAAAATTGCCCAAAGTGTATGAGAGCAAGCAGAGTGGGAGAGAGACTCACCTAGGACGGTCAGATGGGTCCCTTGGCCGAACACAACACACTGTGACACAGACTCAGACAAAAACCCATCTCTGGGAGGCCCTGCCCCACCCCTGAGCCCCACCTGCCACTGTGATGGAGGAAGCCCGAGTCTGTGCCCCAGGCTGCTGTCTACTCAGCATGAGGCACATGTGCTCACTCCCCTACAAGCAGTTACGGGGAAGGTGAAATGGGCCATGAGCAGCAACAGGGCTATGGAAAGGAATTCTTCAGTTCATTTTGGTGTCTGACATGATGTCCCTACTATGTCTACTGGGATTTGGGAAGAGTTTGAAGGTCACTGGTGTCACTATGAATGGGTTTCCATAGCAATGGATGGCACATCTCTCATAAGTTCAAATCATCCAAATTTCTTGGTGGCGTGAAAGGAGGACAGAATACATCCCCACCTCTGTATCTTTCCCTTCCCGGGAGTGGCGTGTGGCATGTGGACAGAGTTTATCAGCTACCTTCTGTGTCCCCAACCATCAAACCAGGGCCAAGCCTTATCTTTTCCAGTGACAGCCTAATATGGGACTTCACTGTGTGAAGTCAGGGTGGCCTTGTAGGAAATGGCTGCCTTCCTTTAAGGTCAACCTGAGTGTTCTCTCTGGTCCCTTAACCTGCTCGCATGTTGAGAAGGGTCTGGTGGTGCCACTGTTTTTTTGCTTCATTCAAAGGGGGACATGAGCAGCATCTTTACTGTGGCCCTAAATACACTGTTGCACAGAAGGGTACCTGCTGCTGTGGCTCATTTCAGGTGATGTGTTGGTCTGCCCAAGATGAGGCACATTGTGTTGTGACCCAGAAGTAGGAGCCATAGAGATCCCCTGTGGTCAAGACAGGACACCCAGAGGTGCCCCCCACACTGATGCTCCCCATGGACAAATGTCCACATTTGTAGTCACACGTTGGTCATTACTGGGGGATCATGGCACCGTGTTCACACAGCAGACACATTCACACTGTGTCCTTTGTCACGTCACTCAGCAGCAATTGTTCACCGTGGTAGAAAGGCTGGTCACTCTGTGACCTGGTGGATGACAGAGGAGAGTCTCCATTGCTCCCTTCTTCCTGGTGTGAAACACACTGCAGGGTGAGGAGAGAGCCACTGAAGGCACTGCTTGTGGGGCACTTAGAGCAGGAGGAGGGCAGAACTTAAAATTCCCATGATGCATTCCTTCCTATCTGGTGGGCAAGGCATTGCACAGGACAGCACCTTAGGCCACTCAGAGGGGCCAATCCAATGTGCATCCCTTGATGCAAAGTCAGCAACCATCCTGGGAACAATTCTGTCCAAGTCCAACCTGGACCTGGTGAAGCCTCTGAGGCCAGAACCACTTTGTAGGAACATGAAGCAGAGAAAGCCACCCAGGTACTGTATGGGGAGTCTGGGGACTGGACCCTGACCCTAGGAGACTCTGCAACTTCATTTCTGCTGCTCCCTACTTGTAGAAAAATCTGGAGCAAATTGAGAGATACTTAGAGAGCCAGCATCTGTCAAACACTATGTGAAACTTCATCCAATCCATGTAGAGAGAAAAAACAAACAAACAAACAAACAAACAAACACAAACAAACAAACAAACAAACAAAATCAACTATAACAATACCCAGAATACAATCAAGGAAATGCACTGTGACAATTATGATCCATTTAATGAGAAAGTGCATTATGGATATTCGAAAATTATTGATACTTTCTGCTCAGGTTTGACCATGATAACGTAGTTATCTCTGAGGGCCTTACCTCTCAGCACACTGACAAACTACTTACATCTGGAATTTGCTTGAACATAATACATACGATAGGAGTTACTATGGTTTTGTTGGGTGAATGTGATGAGGGAATAGATGACTTTGGGGGACTTGTTGATAAAAGCATGAGGTCATTTCTATTCATCTGCCTTTTCATTTTTGTGTTTCCAGTTTTCCACAATAAAAAACCACACAAAGTGAATGGGAAACTGGTGTAACATGAAAGGGACACTCAGTCCTTGTAGCAGTCAGCAGGGCCATCAAGATGAGAAAGAGCTGGCGGTCCTTTCCCTAGAGGGACCTAAACATTCAGATTCAGGGAAGGGGTCAGACAGACGCTATGGGACACTGGGACCCCCAATCTTCCTTCCATGTTTTTGAGTTTAATTTTGGGCAGAGGTAGTTGTGATGAAGCTCCAAGGAGGCCCCTTCTGCTCTGCTTTGGCCCCAGAGCTCCCTGCCCTTACAGTCCCTGTCCCTGGGTTGCTGTGGACACCCAGCAGCAGTGGTGAAGGCAGCTCCAAGTCACTGAAGAGCTGGAGGTTCACACAGGGAAGCCTGAGAGTGTGGCAGCTATGGGCTGGCAGCCTGCTGGGCCTGCACATCTGTGAGCTGAGCACACCCACCTCAGGGCCTGGGAGGGAGGGTGTCTCTGACACCAGGCTGCAGGTGCACCAGGCAGGGGCTGAGCCACAGTGAGCGACAACTGTGGGGCTATGCATAGGGGGTCTGAAATGGCCCAGTCACCACGAATATAGGACCTTGCTGTACCCCCTGACCACATTCATTTTACCCTGAGCTAATTTGCCCCAACCTAACTTTACCCTCCCCTTCGAAAGAGACCTCTCTCCTGATGTTCTTACTGTTCCCAGGACAGTTTCTATTCTCAGTGACCCTGTGTTTCTGTGTCTCTCACTCATCCAAGCTGAAATCATGAGCTCCATCCATCAGGCAGCCCTAAATGAGCTCTCTCCCTGACCGAATTCAGATGTCCACACGCTTCGTGATTATTGTTCCTTAGCTCCAGCTTGGGTAACCTTGAGATTGAATTTGATCCTGAAAACTTCTGAACATAAACTCCTTGCCTCTGTGCTTCAGGCCCACCTGTCACCCTCCTCATTTCTCCCTGATTCTCCTTCAGTGCCCCCAGATCCTGTCCCTCAGCCCTTCTCCCTTCCCAGGTGACAAAGCCTGCATCCAGTGGGTCTCCCTGCAGGACGAGTACCTGCTGAGGATCAGACTTTCCACCAAACACAGAGCTAGCATGCTCCCTGGGGGATTGAGTGGAAGGACCGTGTTAAAGAGGAATTTGTGTTGTAAGTACCCCCTCCCTTAATTACTGACCCGTTAACCTAGAGACCCATCCAGACGCAGAATGCACGTCACAACTTTAAGATAGATGATAAGGTCTTTATTAAAGAGAAGTAGAACAGGGACAGGGGTGAGATGTGTCCTCTCAGAAATAACTGGGATGGATGATGTCCCTGGACTACAGTGGAGAGGTGGGGAACAGGCAATCTGGCTGAGCAGGATCCCTGAATATGGGGGCTCAGTGTCCTAGGAACACTCTGAGGGGACCACTGTCTTGTCCACAGTGGCGCCATCGTGCGTCACGTGGCAGCTGAACTGGCTGGCAGACTTCCACTTGCTGGCTGACATGCTCAGGTAGCTGCTGGCCGCATACTTGTTGTTGCTCTGTTTGGAGGGTTTGGTGGTCTCCACACCCTGGGACACAGGGCTGCCATTCTCCTTCCAGGCCACTGTCACGGCTCCAGGGTAGAAGTCACTGATCAGACACACCAATGTGGCCTTGTTGTTGCTGAGTTCCTCAGAGGAGGGTGGGAACAGGGTGACTGAGGGTGCAGACTTGGGCTGACCTGTGGGGTTTGGGGTGGAGGGGAGCAGAAGGTCAGGTGTCTAGTTCAGAGGCCACTCTGGGTCTGAGGGTCCTTGTCATGCACAGCAGTTTTCTGTGTTCTTAATGCAAGTCCCCACTTCCCGAGAAACCCAGAGCGTGGGCACCTGCTTTCACCTGTCCTTTGGACCCTTATTTGTCATACAGACATCTGACTGTCACTCTCTTGCCTGTGCCTGTTCCTGATAACAGGGTGTGTCTGTCCTTCTGTTTGTCCCCAGAGAAGAAGATATGTGCTCTCTGAGCTCCTCTTGGGCCAGTCTCCGGACCATTCTGACCTGAGACTTTTGTGCTGGGCTCTTAGGGTCTTTGTTCAAAGGAGTCACTTATTCTCTGAAATCTCTCCTGTGTCTTCTCTGACATAGCAGGTCTTAGGTAGTCAAAGAGAAGCCTTTCAGTCTGTCTTCAGGTCTCTGTCCTTGTACATTTCTTACACTCCCTGCACACTCAGCTCACTGCTCATGCAGCTAGAGTCTCGAGGTATAGAGTGTGCTTTTTCTGGGGAGAAGTTTGTCCTACAGAGACTGAGGGGCCCACATTTTCCTCATCCCCTGTCAGTGCATGACCCTTCCTCTAGAACCTTTTCCTCCCCACCGTGTTCCTTCTCCTGAAGAACTCTCCCAGCCCAGTCTGGTAAAGGACAGTGCACACCAGCAATTTCTAGGTTCCACCCATGCCTGCATGGTTCCTGGGCTGTGATCATGAGTCTCTCACCCTTGAGTATGTTCCCTTATCTTCTGACCTGTGTAACTCTAGCCCCTTTGACCCTTGAGGGTCAAAGTGTCCTTCTAAGATTCTATGTGGTCACACCTTCAGGACTACTTGTCTTCTCTTCTCTTTCCCTAGAGAGAGAACCCCTAGTAACCCCTCCACAAATCTGGTACATCAGGGTCCAAAAGAAAACTCAGCACACAGCCCATCAGGAATGCAGGCTGACCCTGGCAGACACAGAGAAGAGTCTGCGAGTAACTCTGTCCATTCCTGTGTCTCTGGGATCAGAGTCAAAAGTCTGATAGTGACCATGGAGACAAGCAGGAGAGTGTGAAGAGGGAGAGGAGGAGCTCAGGGTCCCAAGGTTTGAGATCCTGGGTGAAAGCTTGGCTACAGGCTGAGACTGAGTCCAGGCAAGGAGCAGAAAGAGCAGAAAATTGCACAAAAGTGTGGAAGAGTGGGGAAGGAAGGGGATGGAGAGACTCACCCAGGACGGTCAGACGGGTCCCTCCGCCGAACACCCAACACTGTGACACAGGCTCATACAAAAACCTCTGTGGGAGCCCTGCCCCACCCCTGAGCCCCCCACCTGCAGCTGTGATGGAGGCAGCCTGGGCCTCAACTGGGGTGCTGTCTGGTCTGTATGGGGCCCAGAACCTCGACTCCACTCCAAGCCACAGCATGTGACAGGATTGGTGTCTGTGTACTCATGAGTAGGCACCCTAGAAAGCCAGGCTCCAGAATGTAGCTGTCCTTTGCGATCGCTTGTCTCCACTACCTTCGCCAAGAGCAGGCATGAGTATTTGAGGAGGCATTTGTGTCATCAGGAGTCAAGCTCCATGTGAATGAGCAAAAGGTCTCTTCTTTCAGGGGTTTGGAATGTCCTGAATCCCCACCAGGGAGGGGCGTGACCCTGGAGAGCAGAGCCATAGGAATTTACCAGTGGACTCCAGCTGCCCCCTGAGGTCTCAGCGTCATCCTCCCTTGTGAAATGGGAGTGTGGGATTGCCCCGAGGGATTCTTCAATTTGTACTGTGAGCAGTGCCAGCCTGTCCTCCACGGGGAACTCGGGAGACTCCCCTTCACTTTCAACAGTTGGGTTTTATAGGATGAGGGTCTCGTGGTCCTGAATCCTACATTCATGTTCAGCTCACCCTAGGAAGGTAGATTCCAGCCCTGAGTTTGGAAAGGCACAAGGAGCAATGATCATATTGTCTATACCCAGGAACCATGGATGTTCCCTGGTCATACCAGGCTCCCCAGAGCCACCTGTGGGGGCTCTAGTAGAGAAGTTCCATGATTGTGACCACATTGGGGTGGACACTAGAGGATGACTGCTGGGTGTTTGTACAGAAGATAAAACACAATGTGTCATTTGTCATTGTTTTTATATGTTAATTGTCTCCTTAGTAGGGGGTGAAGGGAACCTTATCCTCATTTTCTGAAATGAGAAATAAAGAAGAATGTCTATTTCTACTTTTCACTATAGAACACACACACTCTGAGGTGAAGGAAGAGCTGTTGAAGGCCCCTGGGTCTGAGCCTAGTGGGTGTGGGGCTCTGAGCTCAAGGGCAGTGCTGTTTCTTGGGGAGGGTGGGGCTGACCCGGCTGTAGCCCATGGAACCTCTGCCCTGAGTTCTTCTGACATGACCTCCTTCTAATCCTGAGTTCCAGGGAACACATCCTCCCTGGGACAGGATATGGCACTCTCTGTGGGTCCAGGAAGGTGCCCTTCCTCATCTCGTGTCCTGCCCTTATGATGGCGGACACCACCTGCTCCCTCTGGGAACCAGCAGTGTGTTTGCTGCAGGGGAGTCAGTGTCTGACTGAGCTATGAAGGGTCTAGAGAGGGAGTGTGAGACAGGTCGTCAAGGGACACATTGCTCCAGATTTCTGTGGCTCTGTGGTGACAGGCTGATGACAAAACCCTCACCTTGTAATGGCTCACATCAGTGGGTTTCTTGAGGAAAAAGGAAAGTTAAACAGATGTTCCTGTATAATAAAGGCTTGGCTCAAGGGTCTTCTTCTCCCAAATTTCTAACATTAACTGTCCCATACCCTCTTCATTTCCCCATCAGCCTGGAAAGTGCCTAGGGGTCTCTCACTCAGCCCTTCTTTCTTCCCTGGTGACAAGCACCAGTTCCTCAGGGCCAGGCCTGCAAGACAAGTACGTTTTCTGGGTCATGGCTACTCCCAGTACTGAGATCACAGGTGATTCCTGGGGAAGGGGTGGGTGAGAAGCCAGAAACACAGGATTTCATGCTGGAAGGACCCCTGAGAGAGTAGCCCTTCATCCTGGAGACATCATTAGATGCTGAACACACATAGAGTCACACAATGATAAATGACCAGGGTTTTATTGAGAAAATGTGGAAATGGGGAGACAGTGAGGCCAGTCCAGTCTGGAAAGACCTGGGCTAGAGTCCCAGGGGTACGGTGGAGAGCTGGAGAATGGGGTTTGTGGGTGAGCAGAGTCCCAGAATATGGGAGCTCAGTGTCCTAGGAACACTCTGAGGGGACCACTGTCTTGTCCACAGTGGTGCCATCGTGCGTCACGTGGCAGCTGAACTGGCTGGCAGACTTCCACTTGCTGGCTGACATGCTCAGGTAGCTGCTGGCCGCATACTTGTTGTTGCTCTGTTTGGAGGGCTTGGTGGTCTCCACACCCTGGGACACAGGGCTGCCATTCTCCTTCCAGGCCACTGTCACGGCTCCAGGGTAGAAGTCACTGACCAGACACACCAGTGTGGCCTTGTTGGTGCTGAGTTCCTCAGAGGAGGGTGGGAACAGAGTGACTGAGGGTGCAGACTTGGGCTGACCTGTGGGGTGGGGGTGGAGGGGAGCAGGAGGTCAGGTGTCTAGTTCAGAAGCCACTCTGGGTCTGAGGGTCCTTGTCATAATCAGCAGTTTCCTGTGTCCTTAAAGCAACTCCTCATTTCCTGAGAATCTCTGAGCCTGGGACTTGCTTTTATCTGTCTTTTGGTCTCTCTCTGCCCCACTGATACCTGACTGTCACCCTCTTGTCTGTGCCTTTTTCTCACAACAGTGTGTGTCATTCTGTTTCTCCTCAGAGACACTGATATGAGCTCTCTGAGCTCCTCTGGGGCCAGGCTCTGCACATTTCTGACCCGACCCTCCTATGCTGGGCTCTTAGGGTCTTTGTTCAAAGGAGACGGTTTTCTTCTGAAATCTCTCCTGGACCTTCTCTGAGATAGCAGGTCTTAGGTAGTCAAACAGAAGCCTTTCAGTCTGTCCTTGGTCTCTGTCCTTGTACGTTTTTCACACCCCCTACACACTCATCCCATGGTCACACAGCTAGAGCCTTCATGCTGTAGAGTGTGCCCTTCTTATTGTGAAGTTTGTCCTGCAGAGACCCAGGTGCCCACCTCGTCCTTATGCCCTGTCATCGCATGACCCTTCCTCCCGCCCTTTCTCTTCCCCACTGTGTTCTCTGTCCTGCAGGGCTCTCTCGTCCCAGCTGGTAAAGGACACTGCATGGCAGCTGTGTGCAGGCCCCCTCCAGCCCTGCACAGTTCCTGGCCTGTGAGCATAATCCCATACCTCAGAGATCCTTCTATTAATTCTATACCTGGGTGTCTCTAGCCATGACCCTGATTGTTCTAGATCATTCTAAGGTCTCCCCCGGTCGCCCCCTCAGAACTACTTATTGTCTCTTCCTCTGGAAATGGGTGGGACCCTTGGTAATCCCTAGAAATAAATCTGATGCACTGGGGTGTGAAGGAGATCAGTGATTAGACCCTGTCGGGAATTCATCCTGACCCTGGTAGACAGAGAGAAGAGTGTAGAAGATATTTGGTCCATTCTGCTCGCTTTGGTCAGAGTTGAAGATCTGATAGTGACCAGTGGAGGCAAGTAGGAAAGTAAGAAGAAGGACAAGAGGTGCTGAGGATCCCAGTAGCTGGGGTCTAGGGTCTAGCCTGGCTACAGCCTGGAACAAAACTCAGAAAAAGGGAGGAAAGAGCATAAAACTTTCCAATATGCTGGGAAAGCAGGGAAGGTAGGGCAATGGGAGACTCACCGAGGACGGTCAGATGGGTCCCTCCGCCGAACACAGCACACTGTGACACAGGCTCATACAAAAACCTCTGTGCAATGCCCTGCCGCACCCCTATGCCCTCCACCTGCAGCTGTGATGGAGGAAGCCCGGGCCTGAGCCTCAAGTTGCTGTCTGCTCTGCATGGGGCACACACACTCCCTCCCCCCACAAGCAGATGCAGGGTGGGTGACACGGGCCCTGTGCAGCCACAGTGCTGTTGGAAGCGATTCTTCCCATTAATGTTGGTGTCTGACATAATGTCCCCACTAGCGTGTCCTGGGATTTGGTGGGCAATACTGTCACGAACAGTGAGGTTCCATGGCAGTGGATGGCACATTACTCATAGGTTCAATCACCCAAATTCCTTGGCGGCATGAAGGAAGGGTAGAGTACAATCCCTACCTCTGTAATCCCCCTTCCAGAGACAGGCACCTGGCCTGTGTACAGTGTACCGGCCACCTCCTATGTCCCTTGTCATCTATTCAGGGGCCCAGCCTTATGTTTTCCAGTGACAGCCCAGTTTCGGAGCGCACTGTGTCTAGTCAGGGTGCCCTTGTAGGAAATGGCTGCCTTCCTGTAAGGTCAATCTGAGTGTTCCCAGTGGTCCCTTAACCTGGTCTTATGTTGAGAAGGGTCTGGTCCTGCCACTGTGGCTCTCCTTCATTCAAAGGGGGACATGAGCAGTACCTTGACTGTGGCCATATATCCCCCCTCACACTGAAGGGGACTTATGCCCGGGGCTCATTACAGGCCAAGTGTTGGTCTGCCCAAGATGAGGCACATTATGTTGTGACCCAGAAGTAAGAGCCATAGAGATCCCCTGAGGTCATGTCAGGGCATCCAGAAGCTCCCTGCCCCACCACAGAAGCTCGGTGGACAAATGTAGACATTTGCAACCACACTGTGGTTGTCACTGGAGGATCATGGCACTGTGTTCACACAGAAGACACGTTCCCACCATGTCCTTTGTCATGTCACTCAGCAGCAATTGTTCACTATGGCAGGAAGGCTGGGACCACAAGTCACTGTGTGACCTGGTGGATGACAGAGAAGAGTCTCCATTGCTCCCTTCTTCCTGGTGTGAAACACACTGCGGGGTGAGGAGAGAGCCACTGAAGGCACTGCCTTTGGGGCACTCAGAGCAGGAGGAGGGCAGAACTGAAAATTCCCATGATGCATTTCTTCCTATCTGGTGGGCGGGTCATTGCACAGGACAGCAGCTAAGGCCACTCACAGTAGGCCAATCTGACCTGTGTCCCTTGGTGCAAAGTCAGCAACCATCTTGGGAACAATTCTGCCCAAATCCAACCTGGACCTGGTGAAGCCTCTGAGGCCAGTACCACTTTGTAGGAACATGAAGCAGAGAAACCCACCCAGATACTGTGTGGGGAGCCTGGACACTGCACCCTGACCCTGGGAGAGTCTGTACCACCAGCAGCTCCAGCCCCAGAGCCACCTCCTTGCAGGAAGATCTAGAGCAAATTAAGACACCGTTAGAGAGTCAGAGTTTGCCAAACACTGTGAAACTTCATCTGATCCATGCAGAGAAAACAAACAAACAAACAAACAAACAAACAAACAAAGAAACATAACCAAATATAACTCTATCCAAAATACAATCAGGAAAATGCACTATGAAAACTATGATCCATTTAATGAGACAGTGCATTTTGGATATTCGAAGACTATTGATACTTTCTGCTCAGGTTTGACCATGATAACGTAGTTATCTCTGAGGGCCTTACCTCTCAGCACACTGACAAACTACTTACAGATGAAGAATTACATCTGGAATTTGCTTGAACATATGCATAAGATAGGAGTTACTATGATTTTGTTGGGTGAATGTGATGAGGGAATCGATGACTTTGGGGGACTTGTTGATAAAAGCATGAGGTCATTTCTGTTCATCTGCCTTTTCATTTTTGTGTTTCCAGTTTTCCACAATAAAAAAATCACACAAAGTGAATGGGAAACTGGTGTAACGTGAAAGGGACCCTCAGGCCTTGTAGCAGCAGGGCCATCAAGATGAGAAAGAGCTGGGTGGTCCTTTCCCTAGAGGGACCTAAACATTCAGATTCAGGGAAGGGGTCAGACAGACGCTATGGGACACTGGGACCCCCAATCTTCCTTCCACGTTTTTGGGTGTAATTTTGGGGCAGCGATAGTTGTGATGAAGCTCCAAGGAGGCCCCTTCTGCTCTGTTTTGGCCCCAGAGCTCCCTGCACTTACAGTCCCTGTGCCTGGGCTGCTGTGGACACCCAGCAGCAGTGGTGAAGGCAGCTCCGAGTCACTAAAGAGCTGGAGGTTCACACAGGGAAGCCTGAGAGTGTGGCAGCTGTGGGCTGGCAGCCTGCTGGGCCTGCACATCTGTGAGCTGAACACACCTACCTCAGGGCCTGGGAGGGAGGGTGTCTCTGACACCAGGCTGCAGGTGCACCAGGCAGGGGCTGAGCCACAGTGAGTGACAACTGTGGGTCTGTGCACAGGGCATCTGAAATGGCCCAGTCACCTCGAAAATAGGACCTTGCTGTACCTCCCGACCACATTCACTTTACCTTGAGCTAATGAGCCCCTACCTCACTTCACCCCCTCCTCTGAAGCAACCTCTCTCCTCATGTCCTTTCTACACCCAGGACAGTGTCCTTTCTCAGTGACCCTGTGTTTTCATGTCTTCCACTCATTCAAGCTGAAATCATTAGCTCCATCCTTCAGCCAGCCCTAAATGAGCTCTCTCCCAGACTGAATTCAGATGTCCACACGCTTCATGGTTATGGTCCCTTAGCTGCTGTGTAGGGTAACCTTGAATTTAAATTTGATCCCGAAAACATCTGAACATTAACTCCTTGCCTCTGTGCTTCGGGCTCACCTGTCACCCTCCTCATTTCTCCCTGATTCTCCCTCAGGGCCCTTAGATCTCTGTCACTCAGCTCTTCTCCCTTCCCAGGTGACAAAGCTTGCATCCAGTGGGTCTCTCTGCAGGACAAGTACCTGCTGAGGATCAGGCTTTGCACCAAACACAGAGCTAGCATGCTCCCTGGAGTTTGGGTGTAAGGAAAATGATAAAGAGGAATTTGTGTTGTAACTACCCCCTCCCTTAATTACTGACCCGTTAACCTAGAGACCCATCCAGATGCAGAATGCACGTCACAACTTTATGATAGATGATAAGGTTTTTATTAAGGAGAAGTAGAGGAGGGACGGGGGTAAGAATTGTCCCATCAGAGCTGACTGGGGATGAAGGGAGTCGTGTATTTCAGTTGAGGGGTGGAGAACAGGCAATTAGGCTGAGCAGGATCCCAGAATATGGGGGCTCAGTGTCCTAGGAACACTCTGAGGGGACCACTGTCTTGTCCACAGTGGTGCCATCGTGCGTCACGTGGCAGCTGAACTGGCTGGCAGACTTCCACTTGCTGGCTGACATGCTCAGGTAGCTGCTGGCCGCATACTTGTTGTTGCTCTGTTTGGAGGGCTTGGTGGTCTCCACACCCTGGGACACAGGGCTGCCATTCTCCTTCCAGGCCACTGTCACGGCTCCAGGGTAGAAGTCACTGACCAGACACACCAGTGTGGCCTTGTTGTTGCTGAGCTCCTCAGTGGAGGGTGGGAACAGAGTGACTGAGGGTGCAGACTTGGGCTGACCTGTGGGGTGGGGGAGGGGCAGGAGGTCAGGTGTCTAGTTCAGAGGTCACTCTGGGTCTGAGGGTCCTTCTCATATTTAACAGTTTTCTGTGTTCTTAACACAAGTTCCCTCTCTCCTGAGAAACCCGGAGCCTGGACACCTGCCTTCACCTGTCCTGTGATCCTTCTTCTGACCCATTGACACCAGACTGTCCCCCTCCTGGCTTTGCCTTTTCCTCATCACAAGGTCTCTCTGTCCTCCTGTTTGTCCCCAGAGAAGAAGATACGGGCTCTCTGAGCTCCTCCGGGGCCAGTCTTTGTGCGTTTCTGACCTGAGCCTTCTGCGTTGGTCTGTTAAGGTCTTTGTTCGAAGGGGCCACTTTTTCTCTGAAATCTCTCCATTTTGGATCTTCTCTGTCACAGTAGTATCTTGTGTAGTCAAAGAGAAGCCTTTCTGTCTGTCCTTGGTCTCTCTCCCTGTACGTTTTTCACACCCCCTGCACACTCAGCCCACTGGTCACACAGCTGGAAGTTTCCTGGTATGGAGTGTGCCTTCCTTTGTGTTCAGTTTGTCCTGCAGAGACCGAGGGACCCACCTGGTCCTCATCCCCTTTCATTGCTTGACCCTTCCTCTAGCACCTGCTCTTCCCCACTGTATTTCCCCTGCTACAGACCTGTCTGGAACTTGAGACTGTTTGGACACCACATGGCAGCTGTGTGCAGGTCCCTGGGAGGCCGTTGAGACCTGTGTCTTTCCCGGTTCGTGATCTTATCCCCACATGCCAGAGGACCTCCCTGAACTCTATTCCTGTGTGTCTGAATCCTTCGCCTTGAGGGTTCTGTGTCCTTCTAACATCTCATGTTCCCACCCTCAGGATAACTTCTCCTCTCCTCCTCTTGAGATTGGGTCCCTAGTGACCCCAAAATAATTCAGGTCCTACAGAAACTTACACAGGAAGACAGAACAGGTCATCCTGTCCATTCCCTCTGTCTCTGGGGTCAGAGGCAGTGAGTGTCTGATAGTGACCATGGAGAAAAGTAGTAAGAAGAGGAACAGGAGGAGCTCAGGGTCCCCAAGTTTGGGACCCTGGGTGAGAGCTTGGCTACAGGCTGAGACTAAACCCAGGAATGAAGCAAAAACAGCAGAAAATTGCTGTAAAGTGTGGGAGAGCGAGGAAGGAGAGGGAAGGAGAGACTCACCTAGGACGGTCAGATGGGTCCCTCCGCCGAACACACCACACTGTGACACAGGCTCATACAAAAACCTCTGTGCAATGCCCTGCCCCACCCTTGAGTCCCCCACCTGCAGCTGTGATGGAGGAAGCCCAGTCTTATGCCCCAGGCTGCTGTCCTCTGTGCATGGGGCACACGCACTCCCTCCCCCACAAGCAGATGCAGGG